AATTTTTAATATTTATTTTTTAGTTCTCGGCGGACACAACATCTTTGTTGGTATGTGGTGCTGGGGATCGAACCCGGGTCGCACGCATGCCAGGCGAGCGCGCTACCGCTTGAGCCACATCCCCAGCCCCCCAAAAAATCAGTTTGTTAATTGAGAAATGACTTGGAATTTTCTTTAAAAAGCAAAGAGAGGGAAGTGAGGGCGTCTCTCTGCATCCAGCCTTGCTGAGCAGCTTCCCCTGGTCCCTCCAGGCTTCAGTGCATCTGCACCTGTTCTGACCTTAGGCTCTACCTGCTTGGGAGCCGCCTGGTGGTTACTGAGGGAACTCCAAACAGGAAAACGATCTGTCTGCTGTCCTGGTGGCAAGAGCACTGACGCCAGACCCTCTGACATTACCGGGAAGTGTGCTGAGTGGGCAGTGGCAGTTGTTGTGCAGGACTGGATAGTTTCTCGTGTGCAGACATGGAAGAAAGCAAAGCAGTACATAGCGTGGTTGCTGCTTTGCTCTGCAGTATCTCCTATGGCTACAGGGGCTGAATAGGCCTGTTGTGTCTCAGCACCTTAATGTTTCTGATGAATATTTTCTGCTGCTAAAGTCACCTCATTACACCCTTACCTCATCTGCAGGTCTTTAGTAGAATATACAAAAAGAATGCTCTCCCCTGCACTTGTCTTCCCACCTCACCATCCCACCCCATCCCTCTGCACCATCCATCTGAGGGGTGGGGGCAGGGAAATGATCAGTCTCCAGAGGACAGCTTCTTTGCATCCTGCCCCACCTGAGTGTAGCTTGGGGTTTTTCTCAGTACCAGGACTGCCAGCCAAATTCGGTTTATTGGGACAGAAAGCCTTTTAATTTAAAAAAAAAAAAAAAAAGATTGAAATATAATTCCATAGAAAATGCACAGATCTAAGTATGCAGTTTGCACTCTGACTCATGTTTGCCAGTGTAATAAGTACCAAGTGGATGCATAGTGCCGTGGGTTCCATCCCCACTTTCCTCCCTAGAAAGTGCCTTTCTGTCTCCACAACACCTCACTCCATTCCATTCCGCCCAGACAGGGACTTTGATTGCCACCAACAGGGAAATTTTCATTTAAAGGAGCCACAGGAAAATCTTTTGAACTCTACATAAAATAAAAAATCTCTAGGTGATAAGTAGCTTGCTGATGCTATAAGGTATGAGTTTTATTATACAGTAAGAAGGCAGAAAAAGCCTTTTAAAATTAACACCAGCTTCCATCTGTGGCACACTTCGATGCCTATCTGCCTGGTGCCAAGACTTAGGAGGTGGCCAGGCCCATCCAGAGCACTGCAGCTGCACTGGCCAGAGGATGTTTTGAAGAGGGAAGACAGGAGACACATAAGGGCATGGATGCCCTTCATTGTCACTCGGGAAGGTGATACTGCATTATGACCACTGTTAGAGGGTGGTTGTAGAAGCATGCTCCTTAGATTGAGGCTGCCACTTCTTGACAAGTATGTAAGCCTCTGAACCTCAAATTCCACATCTGGAAAATGTGGCTGTTAAATGTCCCACCACTGAGGATTGTTGTGAGGACTAGGTAAGAGTGCAGGTAGACTGCTTAGAGCCCAGCCTGGCATAGGGAGAGTGCTCAGGGGGTGTGAGCTCTCACGAGTCCCTTGATAGCATTCTTGTGTGGTTTGTGACATGTAGAAGGGTCAGGAAGTAGATGATTCCATTTAATAACTCTTTGTCCGTGCCTGCTGTGTGCATGGAGGCATGTTGACTGCCAGAAGCCCTTAGCCAGTGAGTGGTTGACAGGTGTAGGTGGAATGTGCCCTGTCATGTGCAGCATTGCAGTGGGCACTGGTACTGGTGGAAGGCTCATTCACGAGCTGGCAGGGACTAAAAGACCAGGAGGACTTCCTAGAAGAGGTGATGATGGAGTTGTGCTGGGAAGGACCTGGCTGACAGCTAGCATGCTGATAGCCAGCTGTGTGCCCCTGCAATAACTCAGCTAATCATCACAGCAGTGCAGGAGGCCAGTCCTGTTCTTATCCCTTGTATAGTGGTAAAAACCAAGGTCCAGGGCTGGGGTTGTGGCTCAGTGGCAGAACACTTGCTTAGAATGTATGAGGCTCTGGGTTCAATTCTCAGCACTGCATATAAATAAATGAATAAAATAAAGGTCCGGGCTGGGGTTGTGGCTCAGCGGTAGAGCACTCACCTAGCACGTGCGAGGCCCTGGGTTCGATCCTTAGCACCACATAAAAATAAATAAATAAAATAAAGGTATTGTGTACAACTAATAAATAAATTTTAAAAAAATAAAGGTCCTTCAACAACCATATATATATGTATGTATGTATGTATGTATGTATATGTGTATGTGTATAATATACACACGTGTGTGTGTGTGTGTGTGTGTATATATATATATATACACGAATGTGTGTATAAATATGAATGTGTGTGTGTGTGTGTGTGTGTGTGTGTGTGTAACCCAAGGCCCAAAGAAGGGAATTTGCCAAGTTATTTCAGGCCCTCACTAGCCCTGTAAAGCAAGAATAGATGAACAACTGGTACTTGCAGAGGCTGATGGGAGAGAGGTAGAAATGGGCAGGAGTGGGGAGGAAGGAACACACGGATGGGCCCTTGTGCAGGGAGAACCTGTGGCCTTGATCAAATTTTAAAAAGGTGTTTGTTTTTAATGTGAGAGGAAAAACGCCAGGCATAGCCCTATATTAGAGGACTGAAATTCCTTGTACCCATTGCTCAGTATGAAAGTTTTTGAACAGAGCCAGGTGGTTGTGGTGTGGGTAAAAGCTAATTTTGGATGCATGAAAGGGCGATGTTTATTTACATAGGAAACTTTACTTTCTTTGACAGTTTATTTTCCAGGTCTCTTGGGCAGTTGGGATTTCACTGTAACCATAGATGTGATTTTTGTTCCATTAACAAATTTTGTTAAACTCAAATTTGTATTATAGGTTGCTGTTGTTAAAATGAAGAACACTGAACGAATTTACGCCATGAAAATTCTCAACAAGTGGGAGATGCTTAAAAGAGCAGAGGTGAGTGTGCAGTATAGAATAACTAAATAAGCCAAGGCAAGGGCTCGCCTGGGACCCCAGCCTCTCAGGAGGCTGAGGCAGGAGGATCGCATGTTCCAGGCCAGCCTGGGGTCTGAGACTCCTTGCACCCTCTACTCCTGCTGCTCTCCTCCTCCTATCTAGTGTCCTGCAGATACTCTGCCTGAGGGCACACCCTTGAGTCCTTCAACCAGGTTTTGTATACAAACAGAAACATTCATGGAGGTTTAGGCATTTAGTGCAGTCTTGCTCCACATGCAAAAGAAATTGCATAGTCTAGAGCCCACTTACCTGCAGAAGTGTTTTGAATTCCCCTGTGGAAGGCAGAGCTTCTAAACAAACGTGGATAGCTGGTGGTTAGCCATCTTTGTGGGTTTTTTGTTTTGTTTTTGTTTTTTCAGTTGTAGATAGATGCAATACTTTTATTTTATTTATTTACTTTTATGTGGTATTGAGGATCAAACCTAGCACCTAAATGTGTGCCAGGCGAGCGATCTACCACTGAGCTACAACCCTAGCACCACATCTTTGTTTTTGTTTTTATTTTTTTTTTAAGATGTTGATGGAACTTTATTTAATTCATTTATTCGTATGTGGTGCTGAGATTTATATTTATACTCAGTGCCTCGCAGGTGCTCTACCAGTGACCCACGACTCCCCTACTTGGCCATCTTGATGTGCTTTTTCCTTGTTCCCACTGTGCTCAGCCCTGATCTTGCCTCTTACCAATAGCCGCCAGCATGGCTGCTCTGTTCTGACTCTCTACTTCTCTCATGACTCATGACCCTCCTTGAAGGTGCTGCCTGTGACAGTGACTCTGTCACCTGAGCCTCTGACCTGCTTCCAGTGCTGTCTGGACTTGGTTCTATGACTGGGCCGTCCCCTTTTCACAGGCTACCACCACCTTTTGGAAGGTCCTTTTGTGGTTCCTAGCCTCATCTACTACCTACACCCTCCTTGACACATGAGATAACTTTGTCTCTGTTGTCTTGGAGTTCTTCCCTGTTCTGCCAGTGGTAGGTGCCACCTTGGGCATGTGACAGTGGTTGGCTTCTGTCCACTCTCTCCTGAGCTTCTGGCCTCTGAGAACTCAGTGCAGTGGCACTCTAGCTTCCCACTGGCCTCTCAGGCTTGTCATGTCTGATTCGTTTGGGTGTGTTCTTCCCTGTCCTCACGTAGCTCCTCTTCTCAGCTGTGCCAGTTACACCCATTTATTGTTTATTGCTAGTAAATCCATGTAGATTGACTGAGACGCCACTGTTGTGCAGTCACTGGTCCCTCCACAACTCTGCCTCAGCTATGTACATCCTTCAGCATCTCCTCCTCCTCTCCGCAGTGTCTTCTTTCATCCTTGTTCCTTCACCTTGTGCTTCTTTTAGTTTGGCCACCTTAGCCCTGTGTGGCTCTTTTCCCCATCACTGGAAGAACTTTGGCAAATACTGCCACTTCTCCCTTGGGGGAAAAGCAGCTAGTGCTGTGTGAAGGAGTGGGAGGTGCTCGGCTGGACCCAGTGTCCCTGGCAGCAAGCAGGTCTTGAAAAGCAGTGGGGCCAGGGTTGTGGCTCTATGATAGAGTGCTTGTCTCACACCTGTGAAGCACTAGGTTCCCTCTTTAGCACCACATAAAAATAAACAAACAAAATAAAGGTATTGTGATTATCTATGACTAAAAGATATATATATATTTTTTAAAAAGCAGTGTGGTGCTTCCACTCAAATTTGGCTATACAGACCCAGCTTAAAACTGGCTCACTCGGAGAAGACAAGAGGTGTGCTAAGTGGTTGTGACTATCTGAGAGTTCAGGTAACAGACTGAGCTTGAGCCTGTGTTGACATGGAATAGTCTTCCTAAGCAATTGGTCTTCTAATCCTCATCATTAAACATATTTTAAGTCTTACATTTTACAATATTGACATTAAAAAGCTTTTTAAAAACATAGATGAAATAAGATCAGGCAGAAGAGTTGCTAAGCTGTGTTAGTTCATAGTCAGACTAGGCTGGGTTTTTGTTTCATCTTCTTTGGTCATTAAAAAATACTAAGAGTTTCTCTGTTATTTATTTGGTGTTTTGTTTGTTTTATTTCAGTACTGAGGATTGAACCCAGAGGGTACCACTGAGCCACATCCTCAGCCCTTTTTATTTTTTATTTTGCTAAGTTGCTGGGGTTGGCCTTGAACTTGTGATCCTCCTGCCTCAGCCTCCTGAGCTGCTGGGATTACAGGCGTGTGCCTCTTTCCGTCTGTATGAGATGATACTGAATGATATGTATATTTCTTGCTGATGGGTCACTGTGCAGGTGATCCCAGCTTAAGCCCAGCTTCTCTCTTTGTGTTGATGGGCAGATGCCAAGCCACGGAGAGCAGCCCCTTGTGGAAATGACATCACAGTGCTGTAGTTTCCTGCACTGGCTGTGACTCTCATAGCAATGGTCTCATCCAGCCGAAGACCCCCTACTCTGTCCCCATATCTTTGTGGAGGGTGTGCTGGAAGACAGGAGGCCAGGCATGCCAGTGCTCAGTGTCTTTCAGCTGTTTCTGCACCAGGCCTTGGGTTAAGGTTAACATTGACAAAGGGGGCTGCTTGTCTCCACATTTGACTGTTGACCTTTGTCATGTGTTAATTAGTAACTTTGGGGCATGTGTACCTCGTCATTGGTTTTGAAAGGAAAATGTCTTAAGAGTTTTGAAAAAAAAAAAGTTTATAGAAAACTCAAGTGAGAGAGTGATACTTGCATTTCTGTTAAGTTTTGACAGTTTGAAACAGAAGTGTGTTTAAATCTTATTATGTCATGTGATCAATAAAGAGGAGACTTTATTATAATTTTGCCAAAGATCTCATAACCTTTTTTTCTTAGTTGTGTATGGATATAATAACTTTATTATTTATTTTTATGTGGTGCTGAGAATCAAACCCTGTGCCTCACATGTGCTAGGCAAGCACTCTACCACTGCCACAATCGCAGTCTAAGACCTTATAACTTTTAAGTAGATGCCATGTGCCTGTCAGGGCTGGTGCGTGTGTCTCTCTCCCCCTCTCCCCCTTCCCCCTCCCCCTCCCTCCTTAAAACTATATAAGGGTAAAAGGTACTCCTGGCCATCTCCATAACAGCACTCTGTCATGATCATATTTCATTACACTTTGAATAAATCATATTTTCAGATAAGCAAACAGGCATGCCCCTGTCCTGCCAGTCACTCACCTGCTCAGCAGTGGGAGTGAGACAGGGTTGCTATGTGGTGGTACCATCCCAGTCCCTGTGGAGGGGGTAAGGCCGTGTTTTGGAGAGTCCAGTTTAGGAAGGTCCTGCTGACTCCCCCTTGAGGATGGCAGGACCCTCATGTGGGCCACAGGCAAGGCCCTGGGGAGGCAGGGCAGGTTTCCAGCAGCCCTTGCTGAGCTAGGGCTCAGGGAGGGACAAGAGCAGAGGCTGCTCAGGGTAACAGGCCAGGGGCCAGGCATTGTCTCCAGAGGGACCCCCTACTGGGAACTTGCCCTGTGGGGTGTTTTCCCAGGTGGACATAGACTGACTGTCCTAATCCCTGCAGACCGCCTGTTTCCGGGAGGAGCGTGATGTGCTAGTGAAGGGCGACTGCCAGTGGATCACCGCGCTGCACTACGCCTTCCAGGACGAGAACTACCTGGTGCGTCTGTCCCTGGCCACCTCGGCCTCTGCTCTACCTTCACTGTGCCCTTGCCACACCCAAAACTGAGACAGATATTTGGAACTCTCTTTTCTCAAATGTGAAATGTTTGACTTGATAAAACTGAGGACAGTGTTCTACTGTAATGATAGGTGCAAATGTTAATAATGGGCTGGGGGAATTTGGTGTATTGTTTTCCTGCAGTCCCTAGATTACTGGACTCCTTTGTTCTCTGGGTGTATCACATTCAAATAAACTGAAGATTTGAAACATTTTCTAATTTGGATTATGTATAAGAACCTGCTGTGGGGATTTAGAACTGCTAGGGCTGGCCTCACAGCTGTTTTCTCCTCCTCCATCCCTTGGGCAGTCTGTCAGAGAATGCCTTCTGCTGGCCGTGTGGACCTCCTCTATAGTCTGGTACAACCGCTGTTGTCACCACAGCCTCCATGCAGGAGCCAGAGGCCCTTTCCTTTCCTCAGTGGCTAACTTATCTCTTCACCCTGAAGCTCATTGGTCACGAGGTGGTTGGCTCATGAGAAGCCCAGTAAGATAGGATTTCTTTTATTTATCTCTCTCAGGCATCAAAAGAATCCCTTAGTTCTGAACACCTAGGATTAGGTTAAATGTTTTGTTATGCTCTTTATTTGGAATTAAAGCTACGCAGAATGGCAGCTGATGTCTGCTGGCCAAGTATGGTACATCAGGCTGTGCTTATTTCAGCCAGTCTTCCTAGGACCCTGGGAATTAGTCCTTTGTGATTTTTACTATTTTATAAATAGGTGTCACATGCCTACAGACCTCAGACAGATAACAGAAACCTTCCCAGTGTCCCTTCCTAGGCCTGCTTGTAGGGGCAGGTGGCAGATGCTTCTGGGCTATATCCATAAAAACCATGTTATTTTCTGGGTCAGTGTGCCCATCCTGAGGACTCAAGGTTCTCAGTATCTTTGAAAGTATTATTCCCCTGACTCAGTAAACCTGGTACTAGTTTTCCTTTCTTGTTGGTCAGTTAAAGTTAACCGTCCCTGTCTTCAAAAGAAATTGGCATAGAGGTTGGTGGTTCCTAAAGGGCTGGGACCTCTACTCTTATCCAGCTGTGGCAGTCTTGCCTATCCTGGGCCCTGTGACCCTTGAGGCACCCCCACTGGGGCCTCCACAGCTTTGGCCCCTGCAGCCTGAGCCTCCTGAGTGCTGCACAGGAGATGGTGTCCTCAGGTGGAAGCTCTTCCTGGTGCATATCCAGGTCTCCAGCACCAGTGCTGGCTGCTGGAGAGAGAGAGACAGGCTCAGCCCTACCAGCAGGAGACGTCTCCTCACATTGCTCTGGTTGCTGCTGTGGCAGCAGCTCCTCTTATGTGTCTGTGGTATGACCCGCTCTTTGATAACCCCATCTTTCCAATAGAGCTGCTGTTGTAGATAGCCTTTCCCTGGTCCAGTGTCCTCCTGAGACTCAAAGCCTGGAGAACTGAACCCCACGGGTCTTGCCAGCTGCTGAACTATGCTCCTACTCTGGCTCACTAGCTCTTGGGAGGGTTTTCTCTAGCAGCAGGCCTCCCATCACTTTTTCAGTGATCAGTGTGTTCTCTGTAGGAGTCTGTTCTCTGCCACGTGTGTGACTTACATTACAGCATCATTACAGTACATCTGGGACCTTCCAAGAGGGACAATCCAGCTAGCAAAGGAGCAGCTAAGAAGCCAGTGCTCAGACTTGAAGAGTCCACGGGCTTCTGAAGAGGAAGCTTGGTCTTTAGTTGTCAGATTCCCTGGGGACTCAGCAGTGTGTTCTTTGCTCTCTGATCTGTAGTACCTGGTCATGGATTACTACGTGGGTGGTGATTTGCTGACACTACTTAGTAAATTTGAAGACAAGCTTCCAGAAGACATGGCAAGGTTCTATATTGGTGAGATGGTGCTGGCCATTGACTCCATCCACCAGCTTCATTATGTGCACAGGTAAGTACCTTCTCATGTACTTCATGGGCACCACACTTAAGCTGTTAAAACATCCCTTTAACATGTTTAAGTTAAAGGGATGTTTTAACAGCTTAAGTGTTAAAGTTAAATCCCTTTAAGTTAAATCCCTGAGTCACAGATTGCAGGTTCCAGTTCATCCAGGGAGTCATGCAAGTGGTGAGTCCTTGTGTTGAGCAGCCAGGTACAGAATGGTTTGCCCACAGCACGTCTTACACCAGGCCTGGCATGTGTCTCCTGTTGTGATGGTCTCACTCAAGCCTGCTGAGCCACCTTGCCCTCTGGTAGTCTTACATGCCTGCCCTTCCATCCCATGGCATCTCCACCCTCTCCTCATAAGGGAAGATTGGCCAAAGGAGGTTGGTTGTCCATCACAGTGGTGGAGAGGAGTGGAGGGATCAGTGGTTGTGCTTCAGAGGCTCCCTGCAGGATGGGACCGGGCAGCAGCCCCTCTGCTCTCCCTGTCCCTTCATTGCAGGCAGGCCACTCCCTGAAGACCACCTTTGCACCCCACTCATTCAGAGACACACGTAGTTTGTTTTGTTTAATAGAAACTGGTTTAATTTATATCTTTATCAAATTAATTTCATAATAACAGTTTTTAAAAGTTGAAAAGTTCTACAGGACTTTGACCCCCAAATTAGTCCCAGCATCACCCTTCCTGTAAGATCGCCAGCTGTGCTTCCCAGACATTGACCTTATTGTTTCTAGTGATTGAAACCCTCCTGAAGACACTAGTGTGTTGCTAATCTCTCTACATGTAATGAGCATCTGGTTGGCACCCATGTTTGGGATCTGCCCTCGGCTGTTTTTGAGGGCAGCCTTAGGTTCTGGCCCATCTTGAACTTCTGTGCCTTCTTGGACATTTCCCAGAGTGGCCCTGGCTGCTTTAGCAGGGAGTGAGTGGTTTGAAGATGCAGGTCAGTATGCCAAGTGTACTCATTTCATCAGGGACGCCTGCTTCTGGGCTCCTCAGAGAACAGAGGACTGAAGTGCAGGTGTGCAAGCAGTGCCCCAGGGCCATGCGTCAACTCTTGTAGTGTGGGATTCTTGAGTTAACTCACTGGTTTTTACCCATTCCACATTTCAGCCTTCCTCCTCCCGACCCTTCTGGCTCCTGGGAGGCATAGCACCGTGAGTCATTGGCTCAGTCCTCTAACTGTCTGGAACAGCTCAGTATTGCCCTGCCTACACTGTTACCTAAACAGAACTCCCAAAAAGAGTCCAGGGTGTGTTGCAGTTCTCCCCCCTCACTAATGCCCCACTTCTCACCTGTACAAAGGTCAAGTGTTCTTGAAAACCTTTGAATTTTTGCCACCTGGTGGATGAGAGATGCTGGACAATTGTGGTTCCTTCCTCCTGCCACCTCCTTTCTGTGGTGCTGGGTATTGAACTCAGGGCTGTTCTACTACTAAGCCATATCCCCTGCCCTTTTTATTTATTTTGAGACGGGGTCTTACTAAGTTGTTGAGGCTGGCCTCAAACTTGTGATCCTCCTGCCACAGCCCCCTGAGTTGCTGGGATTACAGGGAAACATGGCCTCAGTTGTAGTTTTTTTTTTTTTTTTTAACCTTTCTTATGGAGTTGAATATCATTTTCCTATCTTTGTTGTGATTGCCTCTATGAGTTATTTCATGTGATTTTACTTTTTATAGAGTATCTGCTTATTTCCTTCAATTGTTAAAAAATTGTCTTTTATCTCCAATATATGTTGCAAATATTTTTTCCCAGTTTGCCATTTGTTTTTGACTTTGCTAGTTGTTTTTTTTTTGTTTGTTTGCCATGCAGATTAAAAATGATGTTTTATATAATCAATTTTGTTGTTTTTTTCTTTGATTACATCTGGATTTTAAGTCATAATTGGAAGTCTTTTTTTTAATCCTCAGAAAGAAAATACATGTTTTCTTCTGATAGTTTTATTTTCTTCATTAATGTAGTTTCATTTTTTTATTTATGGACCTTTAATACATTTGGAATTTATTCTTAAATCTGGCACAAGGAATGGGCCACAAATATGTGAACTTTTTTGTTAGTTATAGGTGGATACAATATCTTTATTTTATGTGGTGCTGAAGATCAAACTCAGTGCCTCACGCATGGTAGGCAAGCACTCTACTTCTGAGCCACAACCCCAGCCCCAAATGTGTGATCTTTAAGTCTGTGTTTCCCAGTGACTTGAGATGCCACCATGGTCACAGACTCCATTCCATTGTGTCTGTGGTGTGTTCCTGAGCACCTCTGGCCATTTCCTTTCCTGTTCTCATGCGGTACCTGCCCAAGACTGGGAGAAGGCTGTGGCTGGATCGCCCCCCAGCCCTCCTCACTGGCGCCTCTTGTAGGTTACTTCTTCTGTGTGAACCTCAGTTTCAGCTTCTCTTGCTCCCTGAAATAGGACACTGATTCTAAGTCCGTGAATTCAGGGCTTTTCTCTTGCTCTGGGATGTGGGCTCAGCTCAGCTGGACGTGTGCTGTGTGTCTCAGGCTCTGCCTGCCCCCTCCGTCTCCAGCTGTTTCCACTCTGCAATTCCCTCCTTTCTTTCCATGTTCCTACACTTCTGATCTTTTCCTCCCTTTCCTCAGTATTTTTCATTAGATTTTGATTAGAATTCTCCTTTGGATTCTCATTTCTGGTAAGATTTTCTTTTTCTTCTCTTCTTCCTCAAGTTAAATCTACTCATTTCTTCCATTTTTGTCCACTTCTTTTTCTTAGGTTTTTAAAAATTATTCGCTGTAGGATTTTTTTTTTTCCATATTCCTGAATGCTGTCAGGGTTATTTCAGTTTGGAGTGCTGTGTTGAAGTATTCTTTTGTTTTGTGCTTTTATTATTTAGTCAGGATTGTCACCATCTGCTCACCTGTGCTTTTGAAAGTCCTCCCTGTTGTGCCCTCACTCTCTTCCTTCATCAAACTGCTCTTCTCCTTGGAGGCTGCCCCGAATCCCTCCATGCTGCCCTGCCCCTTGGCCTCAGTTTCTGCTTCTTCGTAGCACTTCCCACAGGCCGAGCTGGATGGCATTGTCAAGATGACAAAGCATGCTTGTGTCCTTGGACGTTTATTTTCTGACCCTACAGCTTTGGGTAGGCCTCATAAAAACAGGGCATCCTTGTCTCAATTCCAAGGGAGACTCTACCTGGAGGGTGATAGATGGACAGGAATGACAGTGTGCTTTTGGAGTCATTTGGGGATTCAGTGAGTGGCAGCGGTGGCAACACCTGCTGCTGTTCCTGATGGGTCTCAAGCAGAGGTGCTCTGACTCAGAGGCTCTTTGAGTTGGTGGTTACAACTATTCCCAGATGATGGTAGCATTTCCTCAGCTGACCTACCAACCCACTGTTAGTTCAGAGCTTTGATCTACCTAATGTATTTCACAGAGATGGTTAATTTCATGTTTATTTTAATAACAGAGACATTAAACCTGACAATGTCCTTTTGGATGTGAATGGTCATATCCGCCTGGCTGACTTTGGATCCTGTTTGAAGATGAACGATGATGGAACTGTAGGTATTTTTGTTGGAGATTTTCAATTTGGGTGGATTTGGCTTGTAGTTAGGAGGGATTTAAGTGTTCAATTTTAGGTACAATTAAGAAACCAAATTTGTTTGTTTTCTTTTGTTTTTGTTTTTGTGCTAGGCATTGAACCCAGGGTTTCATGCAGTCTAAGCATGCATCTTACCACTGAACTACATCCCTAGCTCCCTTTCATTTTATTTTTGTGGTGCTAGGAATGGAACCAGGGACTTGCACCTGCTAGGCAAATGCCCTACCACTGAGCTACATCCAGCCCCCAAGTTTATTAATGTAAATTAAGAAAATCATTTAGAACGTAATTGAACATTTTCTATTTGGGCAATTAAAAAAAAAACTTTATTGTTTTATGTTGAGGAAAGTCATATGTGTGCTGTCAGAGAAGTTGTCAATCCCTCAGACTTCTGGGCTACTGCCAGCCTGCCAACCCTGCAGCAAGCAAGACAGCTCCTGGTGCTGCCTTGAAGAGCCTGGCCTGGTGGGCAGACCCTGCCGTGTTACTGCCTTCCCCCTTTGTTTGGGCAGGTCTTCCTGCCCATCAGGGGCTTTCTCTCGTGAGTGCTGCAGACCTAGAAACAGGGCTGTTGCTGTGCAGAATGCCAAAAGGGCCAGTACCACTCCTGCCCCAGAGAAGGCTGTTTCCTGTCTTGGCCTCATCTCAGGTCAGGCCAGATTCACAGCTGGTGACTACTTTACTCCAGTCCCGCTCTCACCACAGCAGGGCTCAAATGCGCTCTCTCCCATGGCCATGGTTGCAGCTTTATGTGTATGTTTGGAAGTCTTTTCTCCTTGAAAACCTACACTTATAAGTGTCATATGAAATATTTTCAAAAGCCAGCAGTCTGGTCCTTTTCTGTGAGTTGGTTTTCATGCAGCAACAAGACCTCACCAGCAGGTCATGCTTTACGTGCAGTGCACTCTTTCTTTTGGTACTGGGGATTAAACCCAGGGACATTTAACCACTGAGCCACATCTCCAGCTCTTTTTTGTGTTTTATTTAGAGACAGGGTCTTGGTGAGTCATTTAGGGCCTCACTAAGTTGCTGGAGCTGGCTTTGAACTTGCAATCCTCCTGCCTCAGCCTCCCAGGCCACTGGGATTACAGGCATGCTCCCCTGTGCCTGGCCTCAAATTATCTCTCTTTCCAAAAAGCCAGTCTCTCTTGTTTTTAAGTATTGACCACAAATCAATCAGGTGGTAGGTAAAAATTGTCCTCGAACTCAGTCTCAGTGACTGTAGCACTGGCCTTGGTTGCCCTTCTTGTCTACTCATCTCCTTATCACAGTGGGTGTTTGACCTTGGGTTACCACCAACATACTCAGCAGTCCACTACTCACATTTGGGACTCCTATGGCCTGGGAAAGGCATTATGCAGAAAAGTGACTAGTGACATGACATGCAGAATCCCTGATGTTCCTGCAGACTAGCAATGCTCTTCACTGCCAACCCTGGCCCTGCTTATGCCCGAGCTGCTCTTTCCAGGGAGCCCCAGTTCCTATCTGAGCCTCAGTTATAGAGACCTACAATCTCTAGTGGTCTTTTCTCCCTGTACCCAGCCACCTCTTGCTTTCCTGTGATTGTTGGTTTTTGCTGATCATAGCATTTGGGAGACATGGCACTATATTCAATCACAACCTTCTAATGTTGACAGCAGGGAATTGTTCTCTTCCTTTTAGGGGAGTGTTTACCTCCCAGTTCCCTGAGCAGGGAATGCCTGAGCACCCAGCTAATGCCTGGACCAACTTGTCTTCCATCTAGGAGATCACAGGTGGTCTGCAGATGGGCATTCTTGGCACCCTGAGGGCTTGTTAGGAATACAGCATCCAGGCGAATCCTCACCTGACTCCCTGTTATAACAAGAGCCCCCTTAACAAGTCTGTTGACAGAATGTCAGAGTCCGGCCCTGGGACAAGGATGGAGAGTGTGGGGACTCTGCCTGTGGGTCTTGGAGAAGAAGTTCTCACTTGGGGCTGGGGAGGGTGTTCAGCCTTGGGAAACCATGCATGCAGGGCCTCACCACTCTGGGAACTGCTCACTGTTCAGTACTGCAAGAGAGTATTTATTGAATTTTGAATCATTAGCTTTGTATATCCTGATCACTCACAGCTTTTCTTCCGTGATTATTTTGTTTCCTGTTGGTGCTAGATGTTAGAGAGTGGTTAGAAACAGGCCATCGGAGCACTCTAGGTTTTCCTTCACTCTTCCCCACAGGTTCAGTCCTCTGTGGCGGTGGGCACACCTGACTACATTTCACCCGAGATCCTGCAGGCCATGGAGGATGGCATGGGCAAATATGGGCCTGAATGTGACTGGTGGTCCCTGGGCGTCTGCATGTACGAGATGCTTTATGGAGAAACACCGTTTTATGCAGAGTCACTTGTAGAGACGTATGGGAAAATCATGAACCATGAGGTAAGACTCCATTCTCGTGCCCTGTATTTTCTTAGTACATGGTATAGGCCTAGAGGGAGGTAGGACCACACCCTTGGGGCAGGAGGGGACGGAGAGGGTTGCTAGATGCATCTGGTGGGCAGAGGGAAGGGAAGCCTCAAAAGCATTGCCCAGGTGTGTGGGTGGCTTCTGTGGAAACCTGCAGTGTTTGCATGGCGATATCAGAAGTGAGGAGCCTGGCGCTGCTGGGGAGGCTGTGGGAGCACATGGACCCAGCCTTACAAATGGCCACTCATCTCCCTGGGGAAAGCAGGTCCATGGTCCTTTCTTATCCCGTTTTTTCCCTTATTTTCCTTCTCCCAGAGACTAATTTTTCTGTTCAGTGTTGCCTTCCTTGCTTTCTCTTGTGTTATTTCCTTTTCTGCCATTTTCTCTTGTTTTTTCTCTTAGCCATATGTCTTTGCAGTGTCATGTTTGACCTTTCCGCCAGCATGCTGGTAGCATTCTGCATTCCTGCCTGCTGTCCACACACACACTTGTACACGTGTTCTGCACACAAGTCCCAGAACCTCCAGTTGTATGCTGACCTGTCCTGTAGTTGAGGTCTCCCACTAACTGCCCATGTGGGAAGCAAATTAACAAGACAGCAGTAAATTATTTTATATTTAACTCTAAATTAAAGCGAAAGCTGTACTTATAAAAAATTTTTTCCCAGAGTAGAATCATGTCTTTCATTTAAGAGTTAGCAATCTCACCTTTCCTACAGACTTCACGTGTGTATAGAAGGTGAAAGCTCTCCACCAGCTCCTACCTGACAGCTGCTGTTACCAGTGGTGACGCCTGCAGGGCCAGGCCAGGCACTCCCTGTGCACTCGTTGGCTTGATCCTCATTGCCACCCATGAAGTCAGTCATGGTGGTCCTTCTGTGTAGACAGCAGAAGGGAGACACAGACAGCCTGTGGGGGCTCTGCATCCAGGCCTGCTCTTTCCCATGGGGCATGTGGCCTGGTGAGTGTAACTGAACAGACAAGCAGGTGTCCTCTTCACGTGTCTGGTTCTCCATTGGCCTTCTAGTGGGGTGTGTGTACTGTATTTTTTTAATGAGTCCTTTGGGTGGGCATTTTGCCATTTTCTTGGTCCAGCTCAAATGTAGTCAGGGTTGTGTTGTTTCCTCTTTGTGACTGTTCATAGAATAACTTTTTGGACGTGGACTTACATTAGATGCCAGCAGATACCCTCTAAGAAAGCTGTGCATGTTTACATTCCACACAGCATTCTTTGCTGCTTTGATAGGCAAAAATTTATCACTGTTGTATTTTATTTGCAGTGTAGAATCAAACCAAGTATAAATAAAACCAGAGGGACTAAAGTTTTCTCTTTCCATTTGCCTTTCTAGAATTAAAATTCTCTGACTTTGGTTTATGGTTAGTTACCATGAAATCACAAGGACGTGGCTTCAGAGCTGCTTCTTCTTCATACTGTCTATACAGCTTGGATGTTTCTGACGATGTCCATTTGTCAGCTGTTTTTTTGTCTCCACCCAGGAGCGATTTCAATTCCCTTCCCATGTCACGGATGTCTCTGAAGAAGCGAAAGACCTCATTCAGAGATTGATCTGCAGCAGAGAGCGTCGGCTAGGGCAGAATGGAATAGAGGACTTTAAGAAACATGCGTTTTTTGAAGGTCTAAACTGGGAAAATATACGAAACCTAGAAGCACCTTACATTCCTGATGTGAGCAGCCCTTCTGACACATCCAACTTCGACGTGGATGACGATGTGCTGAGAAACGCTGTAAGTGTCAAGGTGATTACACCTCAGCATTAGACCAAGGTGCTGTTTTTTGTTATTCCTTGAGAATTCCTCATACTAAAATAGTATCATTTGCTGCATGTCTCATCCTTCTTGACCTCTTGCAATTGGTGACCTTGACTCGAGGGAACTACTGTAGCAAGATAGTACATTGAAGAACCACATGTATTGTTTTTTAAATATTTGGCAATGTCCAAAGAAAGGGTGGCTTTTACTCCAGCCTTTGGCTTGGCTCTCAGTGTCCCTGTTAAAAGATGATGAATCACTCAGTTTGAGTAGGTTCCATCTCTTTTGTTTGGAACTCTTCAGAAACCATTTGCTTTTATTTTCATCATACTTTGTACCTTTTCAAAGCAGTCACATGCACTGCTGTGCTCATGCCTCAGTGCAGCCCAGTTTTCACTTTGTAGGTCTGAAGACTTAAGACTCACCAGAAGCACAACCCATGGCCCACCAGCGGTGAGCCAGCCTGGCTTCTGGCCGAGAGCACACTAAGTCTTTTAGGGTTTGCATTTACATTCGTTGTACCAAGGATTCAGTGATGGCAACGGAAATAGGTTCTGAGTCTTTGCACTGACAGCTAAGTTGTGGTTTCCACTGTGGTCCTGGCTGTGGGGCTCACTCGTACTCTGGTCTGGTCTGGCAGAGCCACTTTGACACACAGTCCAATACTTCCACCCTGGGAGATTTTCTCATGTCTTATAATATTATTTTTGTCTCATAGACCTTTTTATGACTTATTTGATGGTAGAGGAAACCAAGTGAAGGAAAAACTTTTGTTATTCCTTAAGAATTCCTCATACTAAAATAGTATTATTTGCTACATATGTCTCATCTTTCTTGACCTTTACAATTAGTGACCTTGACTCTAGGGAACTGCTGAGCAGGAGCAGCCAGGGAAGATTGTTGAAGCACCCCTTGCGGCCTCAGAAGGAATTCTGTGCTTGTGCTCAGCACTGGCTCAGATGGTGCCACATTCAAAGAGGGGCTGAACTTCAGACCCCATGGAGGCTGCAAAGAGTGACACCATTGATCAGAGACTTGTTCCTAGACTGCGGAAACCTCTTTGCACACTGAATTCCCCAGATACTTTAATTCAAGAAAGAGCCTCTATCTGAAAAATAGAGTTGTAGTAAACTGATTGAAAATAGTCTGCCTTTGAATTATAGAACTCCTTTCTGTTTGAGACCAAAATCTTGAGAGTCCCAGCCATTCCTCATGTCCCCAGAGGGCTGACATGTCCACTGCTGTTCTCTGCACACAGTCATGCTCAGTAGTGGATTCTGAGACTTTAGAAACTTTGGCAGTTACTAGCTGATCCAAGCTACCGTCATGTGCGTTTATCCTCTTAACTGTGCTGTACATTCAGTGGATAGAGCCAGAAGTGAGAAGTGCGAGTGGCCTGCAGGTGGCACCATGGGTGGGCATTCTGTAAGCTACTTGTGGCCTGGCGCCTCTAGCTCACAGTAGCATCACATCTTTTCCTCTGGGTGTTTGGATATAGATTTCATTCCTATTGTTTGTGTTCTTATGCAGGAAATATTACCTCCCGGCTCTCACACCGGCTTCTCTGGATTGCATTTGCCCTTCATTGGCTTCACATTCACAACAGAAAGGTGTGTCTGGGTTTGCCTTTCCCCTGCAGCACCTTCCCTGGAGAGGCACATGATCTGGGGGTGCTTCTGTGCTGGGCATGCTTGTGCTGAGAGGGCTGGGAGGCCGTGATCAAGGGAGACATAGGGCTCTTTGTCCTTTAGAGATGCATGCTTGGTCACTGCAGGTGTATGCCAAAGTTGGCTGACTTTCTCTGAAGGGCAAGACAGTAAATAGTCAAGTGCCACATAAAGACTTTTTGGTCAGTGCCAGATCCCCATAAGCTGTGCTGTTGCTGTAAGATTACAATGAGTGGAACACTTCTTTCACTTGTGATATTACAGCCTGCTAAGGTCACCTATTTTGTGGTGACACCATTTACGCTGCTAGTCATGTAAAGTACAGCACATCACTGCTCAGAGTCCCGCAGTTGTTGAGACATGCTGTTTCCTGTACCACTCTGGGACCTATTGTGGCGTGCTTTCCTGCTCATGAAAAAGAAACTCACTGTTAAACAGTCTGTTGCTGCCCTGTAGCAGCCTTGCCCAGCTGTGTCCATTGCACCTCTCAGCCGCCTCTCTTCTTGAGCCATGTTTTTTGTTTTGTTTTGTTTTGTTTTAATGGTACTGGGGATAGAACTCAGGGTCACTCAACCACTGAGCCACATCCCCATTCCTATTTTGTATTTTATTTAGAGGCAGGGTCTCACTGAGATGCTTAGCGCCTTGATTTTGCTGAAGCTGGTTTTGAACTCACAATCCTCCTGGCTCAGCCTTCCGAGCCACTGTGATTTCAGGTGTGCGCCACCGCGCCTGGCTGCCATATACTCTTGTTGCTTGAGTGAGCTCGCTCTGGTTTTGCGTAGTGATGGAGTAGCCTAATAATGCAGTTCTCAGAATGTGTCCCATCTTTAGTCAACACAGGACTATAATTTTAAGTTTTGAGGTCTCTGTTGTGTGAATTCTTTTACAATCCTTTAAAAAATGTGAATACCATTTTGGCTCATGGATGGCACAAGAACAAACTGTGGGTGAGATTGGGTCCACAGGTGGTAGTTGGGTGACTCCTGCCCAATCAGCCCTCGGTGCTGGTGGAGTGTGTTCAGATGTCAAAATCAGTGGCTACAGTTGAATTTACACTTCTGCCCGACTGAGAGTCATCTTCTTTTAGAACACTCTGCTTGCTTTTAAAGGATTGAAGCCCAGCTCCATAGTTTCCTTCCATCGGTGGGGCTAAATCATTCCATGCCTCAAGGTAAAATCTACAGTGCCAGATGCACCCACCCATGTGCAGTGCCACAGGTGCCAAGGCTGGTGTCTTTGTTCGTTGGCACCCACAAAATTGTGTTGCCTGAGGTAAAATCTCCACCAGATTTTAAAGGAAGTAGGCAGGGGGTCGCAGGCCCTAAGCAACTCAGTGAGACCCTGTCTCTAATAAAATACAAAAAAGGGGCTGGGGATGTGGCTCAGTGGCTAAGTGCCCCTGCATTCAATTCCTGGTTCTAAAAGATGGAAAGGAAAGAAAAGAAACCGGGGCCATGAAGAAAGGAAGGTGAGATGAGACGAATGAACCCCCTTCCAGAAGGAAGCTCCCAGACCTGGATTTCTGGCATCTTCTGGGAGCTGGCAGCTGAGATGATGAGGGTCCTCAGGAAAGAGACCACTGCCCAAGCTCATGGACAATCTTGAGGTGTGAAGGGCCAGAGCTAGAACCTGAGTGACAGCTGCTACCGCTGTGCAAGGGAATGTATTTAGTAGCCCAAGCCAAAGACTCTTGACCTGTCCAGTGCGTCCCAGGTCACTAAGTTCTTGTCACACTTGCAGGTCCCAGGTCTATATGCCAATACCCAATTTGGTGGGATGGACCCAGGACTTTCCTCCCTGGATAGACATCCGCAGGCCTGGCATGCCCAGCTCTATCAGAGCCCTCTGCAGAAACACTCATCATTTTTACATTCTGTAATAGATGTGTGTTCCCTTGTGCCTTTATCAGACTCAGCATAGGAACTCAAACAACAAGTTTTTTATGTGATATGGTGTCTCCTAATGAGCTAATTAGAACTGAATAAGGTGTACACCAGTCCAAGAATTGGGCTGGGTGAGAGAACCATCTACAGCCTCCATCTGGGCAGGGGATGGTGCTTGCATGAATATCCAGTGTGTCCACCAGTTGACTGGTCCTCAGTGAGTGGCTCAGCCATGCCAGCCAGAGCTCTGCAAGGGCCATTTAGTTTGCCAGGTCAAGAATGTGAACTCTGAAGGGTTGGATAGCTATCCCAGACGGCTCAGTTGTGGCAACCTGTCAGAAACCAGGGAGCCCTGCCACCTCTAGTCCTGCTCCTTAGGTAGAATGCTATGTTGGTGCTCTGGGTGAGAGTGAAGTGGGTGTGCAGAAGCTTCTCAGGTTCCTCCCACCACACAGTCCTCTGCAGGAAAGAGGGCTCTTGCCTAACTTTGGCTCCATACACAATAAAAATCTTTTCACAGGTATTTTGTGTGCCACTTCTAAAAGACTTTCACCCTAGGAAGTGTTTAAGTGCCAGTGTAGTCACTTCAGCTCTCAGTAGATGAGAAGGCCTGTGCTCAATTTCACAGCTGCTTTTCCGACCGTGGCTCTCTGAAGAGCGTGATGCAATCTAACACATTAACCAAAGATGAGGATGTGCAGCGGGACTTGGAGAACAGCTTGCAAGTTGAAGCTTATGAGAGGAGGATACGAAGACTGGAACAGGAAAAGCTGGAGCTGAGCCGGAAGCTGCAGGGTGAGTGGCAGGATGGCCTTTGGGCTGCGCGCTGCCTCCCGTATGCTGTTGCACTTACACCGTGTCTCCCTCAGAGTCCACACAGACCGTGCAGTCCCTTCATGCTGCCACACGGGCCCTGGGCAACTCCAACCGAGACAAGGAAATCAAAAGGCTAAATGAAGAAATTGAGCATCTGAGGAACAAAATGGCAGGTAAATGTTCCCAGAAGCAGCTGCTCAGCCTCTGTTCTTATGTGTTAATCTCTCTTCTGTACGGATCTGTTTCTTTAGTGGTGCTGGTGACAGAACCCAGGACTCACTCATGTAGTCAAGTGCTCTACCACAGAGCCATACCCAGCCCTGTCATTAATCTTTTAAAAGGAAAATTTCTGAATCATTTAAATAAGGTGGAAAGGCAGGAAGAAAGTTCTCTGTTTAGAGTTCTAGCATTTTGTCAGTATTAAAATTGTCAGTTTTAAAATTATTTTCCACCTTATTTGGTTCTGATAATAGAGTGGTAGTTCTGATAATAGTGTAGTAGCATGTGTTTTCTCCATAAACTCTTGCTTTTCCTCTGTGTAGCTCTGACAATTATGTGGCCTCTCGCATTGGTGGCCCTGCCTTGAATTTTATTTAGAGACAGGGTCTCACTGAGTTGCTTAGCACCCCACTGTTGCTGAGGCTGGCTTTGAACTTGCGATCCTCCTGCCTCAGCACACCCCTCCCTTCCCGAGCTGCTGGGAATACAGGCGTGAACCACTGCACCCAGCTTCAGATGACTTTTAAGCTATAACTCTTAACTCCACGTGGGCAGGCTCTGTTGGCCACTTGCAACTCCAGGTCATCTCAATCTCCTGTCAGCCCTACCATCCTGATCCAGAAAAAGGCTTGGGTTGAGTTAATTAGTCACTGAAACCTTTACGCTCCCTGAAAAAATAAGGTGCTGTGCTGAGTTACACGGTTTATAGGGACAGGTGGGCCTATGGGTCCAAGACTTACAGTCCCTGGAGAGAGACTGGTTGGAATGAAATGTAGTGAGCCTGTTCCCTACAGCTCAGATCACTTATGATACACGTAAAAGGAAAAGAAGTCTGAATGAGAGAGATGTTTTCAGTTGTTAATAAGTCAGCTGACAAATCACTTCATACAAAGACACACAATTTATTTCTCTTCTGCTCAGATTCAAATAGGCTAGAACGACAGCTGGAGGACACAGTGACACTTCGCCAAGAGCACGAGGACTCCACACACCGGCTAAAGGGCCTAGAAAAGCAGTACCGACTGGCGCGGCAGGAGAAGGAGGACTTCCACAAGGTAGCATGGTGTGCTTCTGTGTGAGAGGTCTTGATGATTTTGCACTTTCCTAAGAGTGAGCCTCCCTGAGACATTTGAAGACCTCCTGGGGTCCCTGGTGTGTGGGCTGTCCTGTGCCGGGTGTTGTTCTATTGGTCTGCTTGCGACTCAGTGCTAGATCGAGTGCACAGGTCCTACTGCATCCTTCTGTTGACTGTAGATGAGTCAGAGAGGTGGGTTAATGGGGCCAGGTGCCCCCAGCAGGCTGCTCCATACAGTGCAGGGTCTTTCCTGGTCTGGAATTGGTGCTCAGCCCCCAAGCCAGGGGACTTCAGGAAGAAAGGCTTTTTCCAAGAAGGTGGGTTCTTGGATCTATGACCAGCATCTGCAGTTACTCTCTTTAACACAGTAGAAACTGAATTTCAGCCTTCCAAATCTTTACTAAGCTGACATAAAACATCTGTCATTCTTTCTGATCAGCAATTGATTGAAGCTTCAGAAAGATTGAAATCCCAGACCAAAGAACTCAAAGATGCCCATCAGCAGCGAAAGCGGGCCCTGCAGGAGTTCTCGGACCTCAATGAGCGCATGGCAGAGCTCCGCTCCCAGAAACAGAAGGTGTCCCGGCAGCTCCGGGACAAAGAGGAGGAGATGGATGGGGCCATGCAGAAGATCGACTCCCTGAGGCAGGAGATCCGCAAATCTGAGAAGTTCAGGAAAGAGGTAATTTCTTAGATTTCAAGAGACAGTATTGATTGATTGGATTTTAGATTGATCTTAAAACATCTTTGAAAGCCTGGGCCATATTACATAAATCACACTAAAATGGGTCTTAAGATTTGTGTGAAGTTGATCTGCCAAGTATTTATTTTCAAAGTTTTTTTTGTATGTGTGTTTTGTGGTACTGGGAATTGGACCTAGAGGGTGCTCTACCACTGAACTACACCTCCAACCCTTTTTATTTTGAGTCAGAGTCTGCTAAGTTTCACAGGCTGACCTCAAATTTGTAATCCTCCTGCCTCGGCCTCCTGAGTCACTGGGACTGCAGGCATGTGCTACCACACCCAGCTGTTTTGTGGTTCTTATCTCTCAACATTTGCTTGTAAAATTATTATTTTCTTTTTGAGGTGTTAGGGGTGAAATCCAGGGTCTCATACATGTAGGCCAAACACTTTACTACTGAGCTACAACCCCAGCCCACGCTTGTGAAATTATTACAAGAAATTCCTGTAGTGCTAATTTTTAAAAATTCCATATCGAAGTAAAATAATATTTATGTTATGGTTTGGCTTGGCATGACTTCAGTGACTCTGTGCCTGAGGCCCATTGAAGACAGGAAACAAATCAGTCTCGCTTCCTCCAGTCAGTTGCCTAAGGTCCACAGTGCAAGGTCCTCTATACCCCTTAAAAATTAAAGTAGGCTCCAGCCCTTCTTTTGCATATGTTAGAAATTGAAATGATTTTTTTCAATGCAACAATAAGCCTATTTTACTTGTTAATATAAATAACATTTTAATGAAAAGTGTCATTTTTGTAGGCCTTTTTAGCATCTGGCATATTAGTAAACACCTGGGTTCTCACACCTATTTCAAGGGACAGGCACTTAGAAAAGGAAAAGCCCTGGGACCCCCAAGGGTCTCACCCCCAACTTTGAACCTTCTGAGTGTTCTGCTCCTGTCAGGTAGCATGTTTGAAACAATGCTTATGGTTTTGAATTCTGCTGAAGTCTGATTGAGGAACCTGTGAACTTGGAAAGCCTGAAAGTACATGCTCTTATTCCTTTAGAGTTCAAATTCTGCCATTTAACCTCAAAATATCTACTTTTTTTTTCTTCTTAGTTTATTTTCCAACCCAAATATATTTGTAGTTATAATCAGCTATAAGTCAGGTTTGTGAAACCCCTATTTAAGAATTATGGGTGAGCCAGTCATGGTGGTGAGTATCTATAATTTCAGTGACTTGGGAGGCTGAGGCAGGAGGATCCCAAGTTCAAGGCCAGACTGGGCAACTTAGACCCTGTCTCAAAAATTGAAAGTGGTAGGGGTGTAGTTCAGTGGTCCATTGCTCCTGGGTTCAATCACCAGTTTTGGGTGCAGGAGGGGGTAAAGAATTATGGGTGAAGTGACACTGTGGGTGTCTGGGCTTTGTTCTAAAATAACCTAGGCACACAGGCTAGACTTATAAGATGAAGCAAATTGGCCTTTATAAGGCACTACTGTCAGAACTGGTTCTCACTACTCTCCTTTGAGGATGTTTGAAACTTTCAGTTAAAAATTAAGCCAGGTGTGGTGGCACACACCTATAATCCCAGCAGCTCAGGAGGCTGAGGCAGGAGGATCATGAGTTCCAAGCCAGCCTCAGCAACTTAGTAGGGCCATAAGCAACTCAGCAAGACTCTGTCTCTTAATAAAATGTCAAAAAAAAAAAAAAGGCTGGAAATGTGGCTTAGTGGTTAATTATCCCTGGGTTCAATCCCTAGCGTGTGCATACACACACACACACACACACACACAATTGGATCATTGTTCTCCACATATCAGAAATATTCTTTCCTAAAACTCAATCTCAAGTTTGCCATCTAGACTACATTTAAACTTGCTTCTTACCAGTGGCTTACAGCTAGCATTGCAGTGAAACCCTGGAGGTGCTTCTCAATCTGACTTGGGGTGGATTTGGTGGTGGGGAGATGGGTACAGGTCCTGCCAAATCTGTCCTGAGTCCTCAGGTGAGAGCTTACCACAGCAGCAGGGCTTGTTCTGTGTTCATGAAAAGCGGACTTTGCTTTCTCATAGCTGGAAGTGCAGCTGGAAGACGCCCTAGCTGAGGCCTCCAAGGAGCGCAAGCTTCGCGAGCACAGTGAGAGTTTCTGCAAGCAGATGGAGAGCGAGCTCGAGGCCCTCAAGGTAGCACTCAGCCAAGAGAGCTCCTCACCCAGGCGCCTGGGGACACTGTCACACAGGGCAGGACTTGGGTGGGAACGAGGGCAAGTCTGCGCCTTAGGGTTACTTTTACTTGTAAACACCCATTGTGTCTCTTTTCTTCCTTTTGGGCAAGTCTTAGGTGGCATGTATTAAGTTGTGGTGAATTGACACCTGAGAGCTTCACATGCTCGTTTTCTAATTAGCCAAGTATGGTTCTGCAAAAGCCCTTAATGCACTGTGTGCTGTGTGCACTATGACCAACTTACTGTGCCTTTGTCAGCCCTCCATAGGGGGTGGCACATAGCAGCCACAGTGAGCTCACTCAGAACACCTCACTCCTTGCAGGCTATTGCCAGCAGTTCCCTGCAGGACTCCCTCAGCCTGGCCTGCCCTCTTGTGCCCAGTAGGCCCTGCTCCATTCCCCTACTCCCACCTTCCTCCAGAGCCCATTAGCTATCCTCCTCTGTCACCAATTCAAAGGTGTCCTCCCTTGTCGTTCCTGCTGTGCCCCATTCTTTGTCACATTACTTTGTGCTGTCATCTTGTGCTGGTCTGTTGTCAGCACCTCCAACTCTTGCTGACAGTGGAAACCTCAGCATCACCCAGTCACCAGAAGGGTGCATGAGCCACATGAGATCACGGAGTTGCAGAGCTCAGGCTGTGCAGGTGCCTCTGCAGGGCAGGTGCCTCTGCAAGGCAGACTGCCCCTAGACTACCCTTGCTCATAAGAAGAACCCAAGACCATGCCCAGCATGCCAACTGCCCCAGGGGATGGGGCAGGGGGCTGTTTGCAAGTGCCGTCCATGATGGGGTTGAAGGACTGCACCATCCTCAAGGGAGGACCTGCATTTGTCAGTTTATTTAACCTCCATCTACAGGTAAAGCAAGGAGGTCGAGGGTCAGGGGCCACTTTGGAACACCAGCAAGAGATTTCCAAAATCAAATCAGAGCTGGAGAAGAAGGTCTTGTTTTATGAGGAAGAGCTGGTCCGCCGGGAGGCGTCCCACGTGCTGGAAGTGAAGACTGTGAAGAAGGAGGTGCATGACTCCGAAAGTCACCAGCTGGCACTGCAGAAAGAAATTTTAATGTTAAAAGACAAATTGGAAAAATCAAAACGAGAACGGTAAGTTTTGTCAGCGCCTCAACCCAGAAAAGGGGTGTGAGCATGAGCAAAGCTGGGAACGTCTGAAACCGCTTCTCTGCCTTTTCAGGCACAGTGAGATGGAGGAGGCGATAGGCACTGTGAAAGACAAGTACGAGCGAGAACGGGCGATACTGTCGGAGGAGAACAAGAAGCTAACTGCTGAGAATGAAAAGGTAACTAGTGGTACCGCCTGTCAGTCTGTTGGGCCATGCCGGGATCTTCTGGAAGTGTAGTGTCTCTCTCAGATACTTTGATTTTTAAATGAAGTTATAGGTTTGTGGGGGATGGGATTGTGGCTCAATGGTAGAACACCTGCCTACCACGTGCGAGGCTCTGGGTTCGATCCTCAGCACCACATAAAAATAAATAAATAAAATAAAGGTATTGTGTCCAACTACAACTAAAAAATATATATATATTTTTTTAAATTTATAAGTTTGGTCTTTTAAATGGGCTGCTTTTGCTCGTTAAAGGTAGTTACCTCAGATCACCAGCTCAGTCACTTTTAGGGCCAGATTTTAATAAAAACAAATTAAAAACTGTCAGAAAGTCTCTATCGTGAACTTACTTTGGAAAAATCTCCTAAAGAAAGAAAGTGTTCAAAACCTCCAGAAGGACCTCTAGTCTCAGTCATGCTGCCATAGTAACAGGTGCACCTTAACAAGTGATGGGGTGGGTTGTTTGATTGCAGCTCTGTGCCTTTGTGGATAAGCTCACAGCCCAGAACAGACAGCTGGAGGATGAGCTGCAGGATCTGGCAGCCAAGAAGGAGTCAGTGGCACACTGGGAAGCTCAGATTGCAGAGATCATTCAGTGGTATGTGCCAGACACGGAGACATGCAGCCTGCAGAACACCTGTGAGACCCCCGAGCCGACCTGCCTGTCTGCTTCTATCTTGAACTACACTGTTCCCCAGGGTCAAAGTTCAGGCCTTGCTGTGTTGCCAGTCTAGGGCTAGGCCAGCAGTTCTGCCCAGTGATCTTCTCAGTTGGACTAAGGGTGGGAAACACCAGCCTTCTGTAGGGCTTGGGTCAGGCTGTGCATGCCCTCTCATTCTGGATAAAACAGGCATGAGCTTTCATGGCAGCCCATACACTGACTGGGCAGAACCTGAGAGAGGGTGTGGCATGGGCCTCTGCTCACAGAGGGCACTAGCTGGCCCTGGGTCTTTGGTGCTCTGGCTGGTGTGAGACCATGTCTCAGGAAGGTGGGAAATGCTTGTCTTGTTTAGCTCCTCGCACCAGTGGTCTTGCCTTCCAAGATGCCACATCTACTTGTCCCTCCAGGGTTAGTGACGAGAAAGATGCCCGGGGTTATCTTCAAGCCCTGGCCTCTAAGATGACTGAAGAGCTCGAGACTTTGAGGAGTTCTAGTCTGGGATCAAGAACACTGGTAGGATTTTTTCTAAAACCTGCATTCTTATTGCTGAAGAACTCATAGATTGCTTTATTGTAAGTAGGACTGTGGTGCAGAAGTGCTGTTGGGTAATTCCAATGCAGAGACTTGTGTGACCAGCATACACTAGCCTGCTTGGTGTCGTCAGCTTCCTTCCTTCATGTAGCAAGTGATGATTGAGGCTCTGTGGAGCGATCTTTAGGCAGCAGCTTTGTCACTGACTCAATCCTCTGTCCACTCACTCAGTGTTTTGAGCCCTGCAGTGCAGTTGGCTTTGGGCTGCCTGGGGGTACAATGCAGCCTGACCTGTCCCTGGGGCAGGTGCTTCTCACGGCTATGTGAGTTCAGTTTGAAAAATATGTCTGTGTGGAAAACAAAAACTTTTCATCTGTTTCCAATAAAAACTTTTAAAAAAAGTCACCAAGACAGCATGTCTTTTGTGGCTCTTGAAGGCAGCAGTACGTTGGGCAGCTCAGTAAGAACAGAGGGTACCCAGATGGCTGGCTCCCCTTTGCTTGGTGCTTCCAGGCCACTGTCCTCCTTCCCTCACCATTGAACCCTTTGTTGTAGGCAGGAGAGGTAACCACACGGTCCCAAGTAACAGGGTAAAGAAGGTCCTAGCTGCAGGGAAAGGTACCAAGACCCTGCTGGGCACCTGGGTTTGTGCAGGTGTTGCCTGGACCTACAGGTTGCACCACAGAATCAGTTTTTGTCCTCCTTCTAAAAATCATCTAAGTCCTGGTTTTTAGGAGACTTGTAAGAAATGTATTAAAGTTAGAAAACATCAAAACTAAAAGTGGGTCTGATGGACCTTGATAACATCTGAGGATTAAATTTAAATATACTAGTAAAGTTTAGAAAAAGTTGAATTACTTGATTGCATTCATTTTGTTTACCAAATAAATAGCTTAAGATGTGTTTTTAATCTCTTCACCAATGTCAAAGGACCCACTTTGGAAAGTTCGCCGTAGCCAGAAACTGGACATGTCTGCACGGCTAGAACTGCAGTCTGCCCTTGAGGCGGAGATCCGTGCCAAGCAGCTCATCCAGGAAGAACTGAGGAAGGTCAAAGACACCAATCTCTCCTTTGAAAGGTACTTTGTGCATGGTGCTCCTCTCAGCAGGAGCAGGGGTTCTGTGTGACTCCTGAGCCAGTCAGGCCCTTGTTCTCCCCATGAGGGCTGTCTACCAGGCCAATTTAGGAGAGTTTCAAGGAGTCTAAAGGTCTCTGGCACTTAGTGGGTGCTCAGTAAGAACCTGTTGGGTGAATGTGCAGATGTACCCACGCTGCAGCAGGTATACTCAAGTGTTCTCAAGGAATAGAGGGCAGCATCAGTAAGGGGTCCCTGGCTCCCTGTACTGGTGACAAGACTCATGGCCACGTGTCTAAGGGGCACTAGGCTCTGTTTATTTTGTCAGCTCAGAGCCTTTCTTTTCAAGCTGAAGCTACTGTGCTAACAGTTGAAGATGGCTCACCTGTGTGAGGTCTTCCCCACTTGGAAGTAGTCTGCCATGGCAGGTGTACATGTGCTTGCCGAGAGCCCATGGCAGGAGAGCTGTTTCACCATGTGGGATGCCTTAGGCTGCATCACCATGAATGCTAGGGTGGACAGCCAGGGCCAGCTCTGCCACAAGGAGGTGTGAGTTGCTGGCAGAATTCCAGGCCCCAAATCCTGTCTGCCTGGGGCTGAAGAAATGTGGCCATGGCTGCCAAGTAAATGTACTTCTTCTATTCCAGGAGCTGGTTTGATAACTTTGCCTATTCAATCACGTGACCCTTGTACGCCCTGAGGCATAGGTGCATGGGGTGAAGTGTCTGCCAGTGTCTCCCACTAACAAGTGTAGAGCTTGCCTCCTAGCCTGATACTGCGTTGTGGCAACCTTCCTCTGTTCCCTCCATGAAAGCGCGAACTCCCAGGGCCCGAGCATATCCCCCGTCTAGGTGATCATGGGAAAGGCCTCTGCAGCTCTAGCAGCCAAGGGGTCTAGGTTCTATGTCCTCAGGGGATGGATGGCTTATCTGGAAACAGATTTGGGTGTCAAAAAATCACCTAGGGCTTCCTGAGCCCTCACTTTTAAAGTTCATGTTTGGATGTTAACAATTTTGAATTATTTGTACCTTCTCTAATGTACTAAATAGAAAGACCCAGAGTGTGCTGGGCACACTCTCTCCCACAAACACATCGTGAACTAGCATGAATAGCCTCTTTCCAGTGCACTTAAAGCCATTTGTGTTTTATTTTAGTAAACTAAAGGATTCTGAAGCCAAAAACAGAGAATTACTAGAAGAAATGGAAATTCTGAAGAAAAAGATGGAAGAAAAATTTAGAGCAGATACCGGTAAATTAAAATCACAAAAGTTTTGTTGAACTATTTAGATATCAGCCTTTTCTTAGGAATGGTATTGTTTTTCTTTGCTTCCTTTTTAAATGATTTTTAGTTATACAAAGAACTTAAATCATTCTGAAGTCAAAATTTTGAAATGAACTATTAAAAACATCTTCACCAGAGGGGTCCAAATTTGGTTTATTCTTTCTTTGCCTCTTCTTGAAAACTGCCGCAGTCTGGCTGGGCACAAATAACTGAGCCACCACAAAGCCTTGTAGGTTCAAACAGCAACTCTTTATTCCCCAACTCTCACCGGCACTCTACACACACTTCCCGGGAACACACTGCCTCCACTGGCTCCACGCGCCAATTCTCCCTGAACCTCCTCCCCCAAGAACTCAATGGGAACTACAAAGTAGCAGGCTCCGCCCTATTCCCAGAGGATCCGCCCTAATCCTGGAGCCGCCCTAATCCCAGAGCAAGGTCACCTTTCAACCATTCCCTCTGGTAAAAATGCCAGGCGGCATTCTGACTAAACTGTGGCTCTCAACACTCCCCCCTTCTGTTTAATTAAACAACAAGCATGTGGCAAATACTAATGTGCATAATCAGGTATTAGTACCCACTGGGCACCTGAGAGACAGCATGCTTCTCACTTTTCTGTGCTGGGCAGCTGCTAGGCCACAGACACTAGGCCACAGACACTGAGACTATCCTAAACCCTTTTAGGACTACCCGCTGTGAGCTGTACCAGCCGGTGCTGATGGGCACTGGGCCATTTCCTAGCTTTTGCTATCATAAATAGTGCTTCAGTGAGAGCTACATGCACAGAACCTTGTGTGTGTGTTATATGCATGGACATATGTTATATGTGTACATATGTGTATATATACACACCTTTTTCTATTTTTCTTTCTTCTTTTTTTGTTACTGGGGATTGAACCACAAGTACTTTACATCTGAGCTACATCCTTAGTCCTTTTTTACTTTGACACAGGGTCTGGCTAAATTGCCCAAGCTGGCCTTGAACTTTCGATCCTCCTACCTTGGCCTCCTGGCTAGGATTACAGTTGTGCACTTCCACAGCCCCCTGAACATTGCATATTTTTGTCAGTATGTTTCAAGGATACATTTCTAGAAATGGGGCTAAGAGATCAAAGGGAAAATGTGCATACACTGTGCTAGGTGTTGATAAATCATGAGGGGGTCTCTGTCCCACAGCCAAGCTCAAAGTCGACTTTATACTTGGGGATTTTTGCCACCCTGAATATGTGAGAGCAAGCTTTTTGAAGGTCTGCTTTGCATTCTCCTGGCCATTTTTAAAATTCAGGTTGTTATATTTAAGCTGCAGAAACTTCATGCCTTGGGGATGAAATTTTTTATTTAAGTTGTGACTTGCAGGTATTTCTCCTACTGTGACTTTACTTATAGATTTTTTTTGCCAAGAAAAGTCTTTTCTTATTTTTTATGTTTTAAGTTATCATTCTTGTTCCTTTTTGAGTCATGGTTAGGACTATTCAAGGGATCCACACACTTTCTAAAACTAAGCTGTCAAGGCTGGCTTCCGACTCAAATCCTCCCACTTCGGCTCCCAAATTACTGGGATTGCAAGTATGGCCACCGCACCCGCCAGGTCTCACTCTTAAATTCATCTGACTGGCTCATTTCAGTTCACACTGAAACAGTTTTCTCTCTCTCCTTAAGCCCCTTTCCCTCCTGATGATACCCATGGCTTTGATCACACATGAAGCACTGTGGGCACCGGGTGTTTTTCCGATTCTCTGCCTTGTCCTCACTCAGTGGCAAGAACCACTTAATTCCAGTCTGAGTTGCAGTGTGGCATGGGATCTGGTGGCTCTTCTGAGAGTGACCTCACAAAGGTGCTGATCCTCTTGCTCACTCGGAAGAAAGCCCTCTGGTGCTTTTACTATTACATCACAGTTATCAGTTAATTTAGGGAGAACTGACTTCTGGTCAGTGTTGAATGTTTTTATTTAACAGTATAATCAGTCTTTCAAGTTTTTTACCTAGACTATTCTTTCTTTCTTACAGGGCTCAAGCTTCCAGATTTTCAGGATTCCATTTTCGAGTATTTCAACACTGCACCTCTTGCACATGACCTGACATTTAGAGTGAGTAATTGCTGCTCCTGACCAGTGCAGGCAGCTGAATTTAAGATTGCTTGTGTGAATTTGCAGGGACACCAAATAAAACACAGACACAATTTACCTTTATACGAGCTTCAGGAAAGCTTCCCTGTTCTCAGCCTCAGGCTCCCCAAAAGGGAGAGCAAGAGAAAGTCATGAGAGGCTGACGAGAGAGAGCATGTTCGGAAGTCAGCTTTTATTGGGGGGACTCTTGTTCTTAAAAAGTTCTATCCAAAAAAGGGCAGAAGGTGCAGGACTACAAGGGACATGTGGGTGTAACTCAACCCTAGGGGCACATCCCACAAAGAAGACCCCTCGCTATCCGAGCTAGATCCCGCCCAAGCCACAGTGAACTCAGTGGTTGGTCAGAATCTGAGGCTGGAAGGGTGTGGTCATTCATTGTGGCTCCCCACAAGTACTTTTTTTAAGTGAATTTAAATGAATTTATGGCAAATCAGAAATAATGGACTATGATTTGACTACTGGTGGGGGCCATGACTACCATTAAATTAAGATATGATGTCACTGTAGGTTAGAGGCACTTACAGAGTAGAGCTGCTCCCTAGAGAGCTTTCCCACCTCACACCTAGTGTAAGCTGATGAGGAAGTGCTCACGCTTTTAGGACAGACATCTGCACTAGCCTCTGACTGCGTAGTCTTTTGGGTAACTTTTTGAAAGATAAATTCTCATACTGCAGAATATAATAATCAGTTGTGTTAGCATTTGTGTGACTTCCATGTGGCTGTACTCAAGAACAAATTGGCACTGGTTATGGAGGCGCACGTCTGTGATCCCAGTGGCTTGGGAGGCTAAGGCAGGAAGACTGTAAATTCAAACCCAGCCTCAGCAACTTAGTGAGGCCCTAAGTAGCTCAGTGAGACCCTGTCTCTAAATAAAATACAAAAAACGGGCCGGGGATGTGTCTCAGGGGTCAAGTGCCCCAGGGTTCAATCTCCGGTACCAGAGGAAAACAAGAACGAATTGGCACCTAGCAGCTTGACTGGTGACCAGTGAGCCAGCCTGCCATGGGGCCAGCTCCAGCAGAAGTCCAGTCATGTAACCACTCTTCTACTTGGGAAGCAGCTCCAGAACACAGAATGAATCTGTCCTCCACCCTCTTGTGCCAAGTTCCTGGTGGCACTCCAAAAAGGCAGGAAGGTAGTTCACTCTATTTCTGAAGCACTAAGGAGGACCCTTTCTAGCAGCCACTTGAAACAAACCAAAATGCTGGAATAATGAAAGCAGCTCTCATTGAAGGACTCGAGATGAGGTGCCTTTAGGTAGTGGCTTTCCAACTTTTTATTTACACTTTTATATGTATTTTATGTGTATTGTGTGTGTGTGTATATATAGTTGTTGATGGACTTTTATTTTATTCATTTACGTATATGCGGTGCCGAGACTTGAACCCAGTGCCTCACACAAGCAAGGCAAGAGCTCTACCACTGAGCTCCAGCCCCAGCCCATATTTCACTACTTTGATCCTCCAAGAAAATGGAAAAAATGGTACCATGAGTATGTGCCAACCCCAAAGGCATTCTGCTGGGTTCTCCATTTGCTATTACACACAGACTTTCTCCCCCTGAACTGTGTGAAAGTGGCCCCTAAAATACTTCAGCATTTCCCGATGTCGACGGCATTCCGTGTTATCAGTGTCATCATTCAGAAACATTTTGCCCAGTGTGAAACTACATGGCAAATTCCCCTGTGGTCCCAGCAGCATCCTTGACAGTTGGTTTCCCTCCCAGTTCAGAATCCACCAGAGGCCATGGGTCACCATGAGACGCAGCTCTCTTATGTCTGTCAACCTTGGACAGAGTCCCTGTCTCACCCCCCACCCCTGCCCCTGTGATGTCCTGCACTCTGGAATGACGTGGGCTGGACATTTTAGCAGAATCATGCCCAGGGGGTGGTGCGCTTCCCACTTACTCTGCCCATTTCATCACTAGGCTGAGGTGTCTGCTGGAGTGGCTCCTGGGACTGCACGTCACCACCGTGGCACACTCCTAACCCCTTGGCCTGTCGGCATGTTGTGCTTTTATCAAATTGCATCCATGTCTTTTCCCTGGAGTTCTCCTCAGTTTTTAAGAAGCGAACACATTTGGCTATTACTTGCTCACTGGGTCTCGACAGGCCTGATGCTGTGTGAGCCCCTTTCTAGTCACTATGGTGCCAGACCCCATCATGGTGAGGAACGGGCAAAGTTTACAGAACCCAAGGCACTGGCCAGCGGTAACAGGATGTGGTGAGGAAAGAAGCGCTTTTTCATAAAGTTAGTGAACAGAATACAGATCTCAGTGGCAGGTTTCCAGCCAGTGCCGTCCATCAGAAGCCACAGCCATGGACAGCACGGTCCAAGAGGAGTCAGGTCGTTCCTGTTGCCCCATCCTGTAGCCAGCACCCTCTTATAATGCCTCTGTGATGTGAGAGGAAGAGTGCTCACCGTAAAGGAAAAGGCTTAGTTAGGCTGAGACAGCTGGACTGGGAGCGGTCCCACTCTGGGACTAGCCTTTGGGAGCTGCTGCCCCCCAGTGTTGGGCACGTTGCTGTGGCCAGAAGCTGCTCCAGCCACAGCTCTCTGGAGGTATTTTCTCACCAGCATTTACTGGATGAGGAGCAATGGTTTTGTTCCCCTGTCCATTACACCAGGATGCCCTCCTCTGCCCCTTACCCCTAGTTGTGGAAGTGTGTGCCTGTGGCTATCCCCAGAGCAGGTCGCCTCCTCATGCTCCCTTCTTGCGCTTGCATCCATCTGACTGCTTGAGCACTGAGACCAGTGGAATTCTACAAGCTGATGAAATTGGATTACTGAGTGTCCTTGCTCCTCATTCATCAGATGGGTCTCTGGCTCGTGTGACGTGCCTTACTTTTGGGTTGTTTGCTTACACTTTTTTTTTTTTTTTTTTTGCTTACACTGATAATTAATTAATCTGGTCTTTCCCTTGTGGATTCATTCACAAATTTAAATGCTACAACACAGTTGCGGTGCCACCTCTGCCTTCCCAGCTGAGTGTGGCTTCACGCTCAGCAGCCCAGTTGACTGTAGCTGTTGGAAATGCACAGGGGATGTGGGCCTAACACAGCTGTGGGCTGTGCTCTCAGGCATGGGCCAGTGCTGCTGCACATTTGCACACAATTGGTGTGGGCAGTGTCAGCAGTGACAGCATTGATACCTGTTCCAGGTATACTCATCACCACAGGGCTGCTCTGAGTGACTTTGGAGAGAAGCCTGTGGGCCGCCTTGGGACTCTTGTGGTACTGGATTGATAGAATGCTCTCAGGGAAGGTCATGCTCCTGCTCACAGGCCCATGGGCCTCTGTTGGTTGCTTCTTTTTTGTTTGTTTGCCTGTTTGTTTAGTACTAGGGATTGAACCCGGAGACACGCTATTGAAGACAGAGTCTCACTGAGTTGTTTAGGACCTTGCTAAGTTGCTGAAGCTGGCTTTGAACTTTCAGTCCTCCTACTTCTGCCTCCCAAGCCTCTGGGATTACAGGCGTGCACCACTGTACCTGGCCTGTTTATTGTTTCTTGATCCCTGAAAAGAGGTTTAGAACCATCTGTCTAGTTGGTCAGTTCTACAGAAAATTGCTTACAGCTAATTCAAAGGATTGACATTTCCTGGTTTCCTACCCTTAAGTGGCTGGGGATGGGAGGTGGAGGTGGGGAGTGGATGGAGGGGAGGCCAGATCTCTCACCTTTGGTAATAATAGTGGCTTGCCAGACTCCACCTCCCCATGTGGTCACCATTGCAGCCTCAAAAGGCCAAGGGCAGCAGTCCTCAGGAAAGGCAGGACAGCTATAAATGAAGTGGGGACTCCTGATAAGCCAGGAGGCCCTGGGATACAGGAATAAGGACTGGATTCTGGGCCCTAGTAGGTTTTGCTTTATATTAAGAATGTTTTCTTTATCTTTCCTTCCATAGACTAGTTCAGCCAGTGAGCAAGAAGCACAGGCGCCAAAGACAGAAGTATCCCCATCAGTTTCTGTGGCCGCAGGCACAGAGCAGCAAGAGGTGAGGTCGTGTTGCCCTGTCCATATCTGGGAGCCCTTGGCTCCGCCCCATGTTCACATGATGTGGCTGATGCCATCGTGAGCAGCAGCCACCCTAACAGCAAGGCCAACCCTCCTGGCCCCTACCTGCAGCCCTCTCCCTGGCTCCTGGCCCACCTTTACCTTCTGAGCTCTTGCTAGTCCATCAGATGGATGAGCAAGGCTTCACTAGGTATCTCAACAACATAATGAATTACAAATGCAGAATGTTAATTACTAACAAGTTCTAGAAAAAAATAAACCCCTGACAGGTTCTGGCATCTGAGCACAGTGCTGGCACAGGACAGTGCTCACATTTTCCACCTGTCTCCCAGGACACGACTCGGCCCCCACAGAGGCCACCTGCTGTGTCGCTGCCCACCACACAGGCCCTCGCCCTGGCTGGACCAAAGGTAGGTCATTTCTTCTCAGGCACCCTCTTGTTTTTAGAAAACAGCGTTTGTGTAAATAAATGGGTGTATTAAGTTTGTGTACACAAAGTAAGGCCCTGGTGTTCTGGTGGTGATTGTTTAGAACAGTGAGCCAACTGGTCCTGTCATACTGAAGCTGTACAACGCAGGTTAGCTAGAAACTGCCAGAGTTCAGTCTCCCAGCCCTGTTCCTCTCTCAATGGGAACCTCTTTTATATCCAGTTCCTTCTCCAAAATTATTTGTATTTATCTGGCTACACTTAGAGATGTAGTTGTATGTGAGAATTTCTCCCCAGCATAAATGGAATTATACTTGAATGTCCCCACCTTGAGTGCACCCCTGTGCCTGAGTGTGTGTGTGGCTCCATCCGCTTCCCATGCCTAGGGGTTCTGCAGGGTGGTCCTCTTCCTCTCATATGTAAATGTCGGTATAGATGATAAGTTACCCTGGGTCAAGCCTAGCAAGCGCCCAGCCTTATGCCTGGGGTGGAGCTTCTGTTCTGTTTAACGTAGACCAGTGTCTGCGGTTCTAGCTAGAGATGAAAAGCTTGATCTTGTTTGAGAGTGATTGAAGCTTGGACTCTGAGACATCAGTCCTTGCAGGATTGTGGACCAAGGCGAGAGGCCCTTTGTCTTGTGAGCACCTGATACCCAGAAGTAGCTCCATAGGGTGCTGTGTGTCTTGGTTTTGCCCCCCTCCTCTAGCCTCTCCCTGGGGTGCTCTGCCTGGGGTTGGCACTCACCACTCCCCACTTCTCCACAAGGTCTCACCACATCTGTCTTCAGAAGTAGCGTGACACTTTTGTCGCTGTCTAGGCTTCATAAACATGCTGTCCCAGCCCGGCACACTTTGCCTCTCCAGCCAGTCTCATGTCTCCTTCTGTCGGGTGTGTCCTATTGTGTCTGTCCTCCCAGCTGGCACAGTGGGTCTTTCTAGGCCTTTGCTGTGAGAACAGGACTGCTGTAGATGTCTGTTACATTCATCTTGATCACACACCCAAGACACCTGAGCAACAGCCCAACCAAGATGTGTTCCTCAACTGGCTCCCAAAAGCCAGTTGGTGCTAATCACTGGGAGATATGCTAGCACCAGAGAGAAGGTCAGCTGTGCTGTGTGGGCCACTGGCTCGGCTCCTTGGGTCCTCTGATTAGCCATCAAGGATATGTGTCTAGAGAAAAATGGCACGCTACCAGATTTCAAGACAAAAAAGCAGAATGACCCACCTTGTCTTGGCTCCTGGGCTGCCTGACCTTCTTCTTGGTGTTCTTCTTCAGCCCAAAGCTCATCAGTTCAGCATCAAGTCCTTCTCCAGCCCCACTCAGTGCAGCCACTGCACCTCGCTGATGGTTGGACTGATCCGCCAGGGATACGCCTGTGAGGGTGAGTGCTGGCCATTGTCCAGAGGCCACATTGTCCACATGTGACCTTGACACACTCTGGGCCCTGGCTTCCTTCTTACAAGCACTAGTAAGGGCCTGGCCATCTGCACTTGCTGTATCCACAAAAGGCTGCAGCAGGCAACTATCGCCTGTCAACCATCATAGCTTATAACACCCACAGCTAGTCCCCTGTGCGTTTCCCTTGGAGGCTCTGTGGAGGTCAGGTCCTGCATGTCACCTTCCCTGTTTGGGTTGGGTGCCAGGGGCCATCATGCTCCTTCTTGGAGTTGCATGGTGTAAGAACCAGACTCTTCTCTTGCAGTGTGTGCGTTTGCCTGCCATGCGTCCTGCAGAGACAGTGCTCCCCAGGTGTGCCCCATCCCACCTGAACAGTCCAAGAGGCCTCTTGGCGTGGATGTACAGAGAGGCATAGGAACGGCCTACAAGGGTTGTGTCAAGGTAGGAGGAGGGTCTGCAGCTTCTATCCACGCCCTGGCTGGCTCACTCTCTTTCGTCAGCTCACGATCTTTGAAGTGTGGTAACAACTAAACACAGCTCCTTCTGAAGCAGTACTTCCACTGAATGAGTGACCCAAGCACTGGTCCTGGGAGGTCTCCCTCCCTGGAAACAATGCAGCAAGGCCTTTGAGTAGGCTGAGGGCCCACAGAAGCCCTGCTCTCCCCACATTTCCTTCCTCATATGCTGAGCACGGTCAGTGAAAGGCATGGTTCCAAAGCTCAGAGTTTGCGAAGCTCCGAGTCCTTTCCCGCACAGCCCGTGGGTGCTGTGTTTGGTGTGAGCCTGGCTGTTTGCTGCATCGTCACTGCTCCTGCATCACCTGGGTCACATGTGGAATTCTCTGTAGCCCCTTGAGCTTCCTTGGCAAGGGCCACTCCACCCTTATTCAGACTCAGCCCTTACTACCAGCCTGGGGGGCCTTGCAGCATCCACCTGCTGCCCAGAGATGTCCTGACTGGCCTCCCTGGCCCAGGGGCACATGGTCACTGTTCATCTGTAGGTCCCAAAGCCCACGGGGGTGAAGAAGGGATGGCAGCGGGCCTATGCTGTGGTCTGTGACTGCAAGCTCTTTCTGTACGACCTGCCTGAGGGAAAGTCCACCCAGCCAGGCGTCGTCGCGAGCCAAGTCCTGGACCTCAGGTTTGTTGCCTACAGCACCACTCTTGTTCTGTGAATCTTGTTCCACATTTGTCTTTGCTAAAATAAGTTTGTGGCTGGGTAACCATTAATGTTGCTTATACCTCTATCTTCCTAAGTGTACTGTTTCAAAGAGTGAAAAACTGAGTTGTTACTTAAGTACATGCTTTAACTTTCCTGCTTTGAATATTTGTAAATTTCAAATCTGCCAGATGGACATTTAACACAAAACTATACCCCCAGGAACGAGCAGAAAATCCCAGAGAAAAACGGTACTGACTCTGGCAGTCTGTGCCTTGTGTACCACTGGGAGTTCTCTGAGCCAGGGCTCTGTGTGGCCATAGCTGTGCCACCCTGACCTCATCTCTTCTGTCAAGTGATACCTACCACCCTGGCTGGCATCAAATACATGCAGAGTGCAGGGCAAGGGGCTTTGCCTGCTGTCCTCCCTGTTTTCTCTGACTTCATGCCTCTGGTCCTCGGGCTCCCTGTCTATAGAGTGAGGACAGGATTGCACTGTTGATGCAGAGGCTGCTGTGCAGGTCAAGCCAGTGACTAGAGGGAGGCACTCTCCAGAGCTTGGAAGCAGGCCTGTGCATGGGTGCACTGCTGTCATCTTGCCCTGTGCCGCCTGAGATGGCAAGTGCTGGCCGCAAGATTGACTCCTACACTGGCTAGATTTGGGGTCTGGCCTGGAGATTCGGGTTGCAGCGTTGGTTCTTAGGGAGCAAGAGATGTGCAGCAGTACCCTCCCTACTGGTCCTTTGCCATGCAGAGGTGTGCCCCAGGCTGGCATGAGCCTAAGTCACAGGCACTGCCTGAAGGCAGTTGGTGGCCAGCATGCAGACCCTATGTCCAGGGAATGCTAGAGCTGTGCCTCCATGCTGGCCTCAGCCTTCCTTTTAACACATGGCTAAGAAATGGCCACCTGATGGTGCCAAGTGACTGATGTAGAGTTGTAACTGTGGGACAGTGACAGTGCGAGTCAGGGCGCAGCCTGTACTCTCAGCCATTCTAACCATTGAAGCTCCTGCAGGAGTCTGGAGCAGTAGTGGGTTTGGTCACTATAAGTGTCTCCTGGTCTAAGAGGTGACAAGGGCCTGCTGTGTCAGGGGAGGTAGCTTGGCATGGGTATCCTCTTCATAGAGTGGCTTGCTGAAGGGTGGCAACCAGGTGTGTTTTTTCTTACCAGGGATGACGAGTTTTCAGTAAGCTCAGTCCTGGCCTCAGATGTCATCCACGCAACACGCCGAGACATTCCCTGTATATTCAGGGTATGATTTTTTTTTTATATTTCATTAATTATTTTAAAAATCACATGGTTACTGGGTGCAGTGGCACAGTCCGGTAATCTCGGTGGCTCAGGAGGTTGAGGCAGAAAGATGACAGCCTCAGCAATTTCACGAGGCAAAATAAAATATGAAAAGGACTGGAGATGTGGCTTGGTAGTAGAGCTCCCCTGGGTTCAATCTCCAGTACTCAAAAATAAGAAAGTGGGGCTGGGGATGTGGCTCAAGCGGTAGCGTGCTCGCCTGGCATGCGTGCAGCCCGGGTTCGATCCTCAGCACCACATACAAACAAAGATGTTGTGTCTGCCAAAAACTAAAAAATAAATATTAAAATTTTCTCTCTCTCTCTGTCTTTCTCTTAAAAAAAAAAAAAAAAAAAAAAAAGAAAGTAAAAAGGCCTGGGAATTTAGCTCAGAGGTAGAACACCCCTGGGTTCCATCCCCAGTACCGGGAAGATGGTTAAATTACATTGATTCCTCTGAGCATTTCGTGCTGCAGCAGGTATTTGTGAACATCCAGAGCAGACCCTTTCCCTGCTTCTTGTCTTATCCAGGTTCTCATGCACATCTGCCCACCCCCAACCCCTAACTGAGCAGCACCCCCCATCGCCATCAGCCTGCGACCTTCTGGTGGGACACCTCCTGGCAGCCACTCCTGAGGTCCCACACACTTCACTGGCCTTCCCTTTTCACCTCCTAAAGCGCCTTTCCCTCCTGGTCTGTAGCTCTTGCCTGGGCCATGGTGACTCCTGGTTCCAGAAGGGTTCTGCTCTAGCATGCCACTCCCAGCATTTTCTCATCACTAACAGCAGAACTGGGGTCATTTTTTTTTTAAATTAAGTTGACCTGGCTTGTGAGCCCCTCTGTGGCTGAGCCTACCCCTCCCTTCCCTTCCCCTCCCTGAATTAGAGTTAGTTGCTATGGCATTAGGAAGCTTCTGGAAGACTATGGATCAGAGAATGAACCCACACACTTCCCTTCATGAGTCAAATCTTGATTGACTGTTTACGTCTGTGAGTCATCTCTTCACTGAATCAGTGCTCTGTTCAGTAACAGCCTCTTACAATACAAACATCACCACTGTCACGTGCTTACACAACCATCATCATTGTACGTCTAGTAAAAATCTCCAAGCTTCCTCGTAAGTTCCTGGTGAATGCTCAGAGAAAGGAGGATTTGAGACTCTCTGTCTTTCCTGGACACGTTACTTTTTTTTTTTTTTTTTTTTTTTTTTTTTTTTTTAGTTGTTGGACCAATATCTTTATTTATTTTTATGTGGTGCTAAGGATCGAACCCAGGTCCTGCCCATGCTAGACGAACACTCTATCGCTGAGCTACAACCCCAGTCCCTTTCCTGGACACTTTCTAAGAGTAAATTATAATAAAATTACCCAAGAAAGCAAAATGGATGGTTACACCATAGTTTTGGCAAGAGCAGAATTAACTGAAATCTGACCAGGAAGAAACTTTGTGGGGCTGTGTTTATAGCCTCACCCCTTCCTGCTTACTGCTGCTGAGAGTCGCAGGGCCAGCAGCTGAAGAGCACCTGGTGACCCTTGCCAGGCAGCCCACAGGGACAGAAGCAGAAGCTCTAGGAAGCCTGACCTTCCTTCGTTGACTTGCAGGGCGAGTAGCTCCTGGGCAGGCCTGGCTCTGACTCCTATTGTCTGTGTTTTTTTCTCCCTCGTGAAGGTGACAGCCTCTCTCTTAGGTTCACCTGCTAAGAACAGCTCGCTGCTCATTCTGACAGAGAATGAGAACGAGAAGAGGAAGTGGGTAGGGATCCTGGAAGGACTCCAGTCCATCCTCCATAAAAACCGGCTCAGGAACCAGGTCGTGCACGTCCCCCAGGAAGCCTACGACAGCACACTGCCACTCATCAAGGCCATCCTCACTGCTGCCATCGTGGGTAAGTCCTCGCGGGCTTCAGAGGCAGAGGTTGGAATGGCTGTGACTCCAGGCCAGAGTTCAGTCAGGACCGCCCTGCCCCAGTGTGCAGTTCCCAGGTGTCTGCAGAGACAGATGGCTGGCTAACAGGACATGTGTTGTTCCCCCAGATGGAGACAGGATTGCTGTCGGCCTGGAAGAAGGGCTCTATGTCATCGAGGTCACCCGGGATGGTATGTGAGCAGGGGCCTCCCACCCATCATCTCAGGTCCAGCCTGGGTGCCTACAGCACGCAGCCCGAAGGGCTCAAACGATTTGGCCCCACGTATGAGTCCAGTCCCCACATGGAACATCGTGTAAGCAAGAGAGAGGCCCGTGGAAAGCAGCCGTGACAGCTGCCTCTGCCAAGCGCCCCCAGTGTGTTAGCATGCCAGGCGACAGACAGCAGGACAGTACCCCATGCCTGGTGATGCAAGTGTATCCTCCCTACATCAGAGTCCCCAGAGTGGGGGCTAGAGTGCCTCACAGGAGGACCTGGTGGCAGCAGGCACTGAAGCACTGGTCCCTTAGTTCTGTGCTGGATGTGTCACTCTTGCCAGAGGGCTGTGACCAGCAGGCCCTTCTGCACAGTGAGGGTGAGCCCAGAAGCCTTGTGTGGCCATAGCAGCCTGACCAATGGTTCAGGTTGTAGAGCAGAGTGAGGATGGAGATTCTGAGCCCCTGCAGGTCCAGGGTTAGTGTGGGGCCAGTGAGGGGTGGGCACTTTCAGAGTTTGTTGGAGGATCTGGGGAGGCTGAAGATAGCATTTGTTCTCTGTATTCAAACCAAGGTTTCTTTGGTTAGGACATGAACTGGAATGAGGTCCATGTCTACCCCACAGGGCCTCACTGCCCTCAGGAGTGGTGCCCAGCGAGGGCCCTGGCACACTGGGGGCTTGTGGGGTCAGGGGTGTTCGGACCATAGTAGGCAGTGGGCAGATACTCCCAGGCGTTTGTGCCTCTGGCCCCGTGCTGAGGATGGCTAGGACTGGCCACAATGGGGGGCTACAAGGGCCTTGACACAGGTCCCCAGTAGAGCTGGGGGTCTGTGAGACGTCGATGGCTTCCCCTCACCCTTGTCCTCCTCACCACAGTGATCGTCCGTGCTGCTGATTGTAAAAAGGTGTACCAGATTGAGCTTGCACCCAAGGAGAAAATTGTCATCCTCCTCTGTGGGCGGAACCACCACGTGCACCTCTGTCCATGGTCTTCCTTTGACGGAGCAGAAGGCAACTTTGACATCAAGCTTCCGGAAACCAAGGGCTGCCAGCTTATAGCCACCGCGACTCTAAGAAAGAGCTCCTCCACCTGTTTGTTTGTTGCGGTGAAGCGGCTGGTCCTCTGCTACGAGATCCAGAGAACTAAGCCTTTCCACAGGAAGTTCAGTGAGCTGGTGGCTCCGGGACATGTGCAGTGGATGGCCGTGTTCAAGGACAGGCTCTGTGTCGGCTACCCTTCTGGGTTCTCTCTGTTGAGCATCCAGGGGGACGGGCCGTCTCTAGACCTGGTAAATCCCACTGACCCCTCGCTTGCGTTCCTCTCACAGCAGTCTTTCGATGCCCTTTGTGCTGTGGAGCTCAAAAGTGAGGAGTACCTGCTTTGCTTCAGCCACATGGGACTGTACGTGGACCCTCAAGGCCGGAGGTCACGCATGCAGGAGCTCATGTGGCCTGCGGCTCCTGTCGCCTGTAGTATGTATATGTTTTCTGTTGCCATACCCCGTTGCCGCTTCTCACGTCCACAGTCGGCATGTGCTCCTTTGCTGTGGTTTGTCTCCCAGTCCGTAGCTGAGCGGTTGCAGGAGCAGGAGGGGCCTAAGCTCCGAGCACTGGCCAGATGCCACACCGCAGCAATACAGGGGCCCTGCGGGTCGCCCCGGCCTGCCTGCTACCCTGAGCATGCTGCCTCATTGTTCCTGGGGCTTTGCAGGTGCCCCACAGAGGAGCCCCACGGGGGGCCTGTGGGCAGAGGGCACAGTGAATCAAAGAAGGACCTTGTGTTTAACTCTTTCTAAAAAGGCATTCTTCGGGCTATATAAACTTACACAGCAATACAGTAAACTAAAGGGTTTTGGTGTCCAGGAAAAAGTCAACCCTGATGTCTAGGTCATAGGGGCCAGTGTTTCCTGGGAGTGGTAGGAGCCATTCTGTTTGCAAACAGCCGAGTTAGTAGTTTGTTCAGCGTGAGTGACTTCTGTGTGGGCACCTCCAGGGCCTAAGCCTGACAGACGGCCACTTCAGCCAGCCTGCAGCCTAGTTCTTTGAAGGGCCTTCAGCCTGGAAGTTCTCCATCTGGCTGTCATGGGATTATCAGGGTAGTAGCAGGTAGCCAGCAAGCAGGGCAGCCAGCAGGACACACAGCCCGCAGTAGGGGCACTGGAGCAGGAGGTGGGTATCATGTTTGCCCTTAATCACCTGAAACTGAAGTCTTCATCTTCCTTACCTGTAGCCTTGCCAACTGGCAGTGTGCCGAGGGCACTGGGGCCAACACCCAGGCCTGGGGTGGGCTGCAGTGTCGCACACTGTCCTGTACACTGGGACAGCAGGGTTGGGGTGGGGGTGGCTACAGGCCAGACCTGGAGTATGGTGCCATGCTCCTGGTCTGTGTCCTCACGTGCACTCAGTGCAGGGCTTCTGCCCACACACAACTCCTGCTTCCCAGGGTCCTTTGATTGTTTGGCACAGTTGAGGTTGAAAGGGATCCGGGTCACTAGTGCAGTGTTTCTGTAGGTGGCCACGTATAACCATGGACACCTGAGGTCATTGCGTCTCTGCCTTCGTGGTCTCCTGTCTTCTCTGCCCTGTGTGTAGCATAGATGCCAAATCAATTTCAGAGCTGGTAAAAAATAATTTAACATTTAGGGTGAAGAGGTGCTTCTGCAGAGCTGTATGCTGAGTACCGTGTACCTGGCCATCTCTTAGGGGTGCCAGTCAGGTCTTGCAGAGGAGACTGAGAACCACAGCAGTTCTGTAACTTGCTAATCTTCAAACTCCAAAGCCCATATTCTTTCTGCTGTATTAATTTTTTAGGTTATTTGTTTCTTTAGACATCTCAATTTTTCATTTATCAAAAACAAAACCCCCACAGCAAGTAAGAGTTCTTCCCCCAGAATTCCCCTATGAAGACTGCACACCTGAAAGTCAATTCAGGGTCAGCTTTTGCATGTGGCCTTCAAAAAGTGGGCCAACCTCGTGTCTGGAATGTCACTTCTGAGAGGCTGATGACTAGGCCCAGCACCCTGTCTACCTCCCCAGCCCTGCTGTCCTTCCTTTCCCCTGCACAGGGGCAGGAGAGGCTGGCGGTATGGGCTGGCTGCAGGCCGTGCCGGAAGTGGAGCCGAGGTGCTCATGCGCACTCCAGCTGGACAGCATGAGGTCGACTGACCTGGGATTTGGAGGACTGAGCACAGCTTTCTCTTAACTTCATGCCCTGCTGGCCTTTAGCTCTGCCCTCCATGAGGGGCCACCTGGGAACTGTGCCAGGGGGAGATCGTATAGCAGCAGTTAGGGTGCCTAGAGGGTGGCCCCCTATGGGAAGTGGTCACCCACTGCTCCTAGTCCATCAGGTCATGCAAGTGGCCTTCACTGCCATCCTCAAAATGGGGGCATCCTCTCAACCTCCCATGCCCACTGTCAACCTAACGGCTGGCCAGCTGTTGTCAGTCAATGGGAAGATACACCAGCCATAAGTGACCATTCTCATGTGTTTTCAGAGCAGGTTGCTAGAGGGTTCCTCCACATCCTCGGGGATCTGTTTGACAGAACCATGCTGTGGGGAGGTCTCACACACTCACCCAAAACCTGCCTGCCTTGGTGCTGTCTGGACGAGGGACCACCCCACTGCATGGTGCTGAATAGTTGGCCCCACCTGAACTCTATACCTGTGGGCCTGGATTGATAGGCTTCTATAACCATCAATTCTTATAGGAGAACTAGATGAAAAAACAAGCTTTTAAAATCATTCTAAGTATCTATACTGTGGTGTTTAAGCTGTCACATACAGACAAGTCCATGGCACACACCTTCAATCCCAGATATCCTAGAAGCTTAGGCAGGAGGACCACAAGTTCAAGGCCAGCCTAAGCCACTTAGCAAAGCCCTCAGCAACTTAGTGAGACCCTGTCTCAAAAATAAAAAAGGCTGGGGATGTGGCTCAGTGGTTGAGCACATGAGTTCCATCCCCAGCACCAAAAATTTATGTAGTTACGCTGGGGGTACCGGGGGCGACACGTTAAACGTGTGTGTCGCCCTGTAATGAACACGACTGGTAAGGTGGGAACATGAAGCCCAGGGGGTGGGCAGTGCTGCCCCCTCCTTTGCACCTTGTCAGGCCGAGGTGGCCTTAGGAGGTAGCAGGCAGGGCCCAGTGCTGCCACTCACCCATTGGCTCCATCTGTATCAGGCTGCAGCGGCTCCCACGTTACCGTGTACAGTGAGTACGGCGTGGACGTCTTCGACGTGTGCACCATGGAGTGGGTGCAGACCATCGGCCTGCGGAGGGTGAGGCAGCCTTGTGGTCTTGTGTGGGTGGGTTTCCCCTGCCCACCTGTGGCCAAACGTGACTGTCACTCTCTGGTTTCCAACACAGATAAGGCCCCTGAACTCTGACGGCAGCCTCAACCTCCTTGGTTGTGAGCCTCCGCGCCTTATCTACTTCAAGAACAAGTCCTCAGGTGAGCCTCCCATCGTAGGTGGCAGAAGCCCGGCCCCAAGCACCCAGGAGTTGCTCTCAGGCCTAGGGGATACTTGCCACTCAGCAGCAGCCATGGTGATTGCATGCTCTCTGATACAGGAACGGTCCTCAATGTGCCAGACACCTCAGACAGCAGCAAGAAGCAGATGCTCCGGACTCGAAGCAAACGGCGTTTTGTCTTCAAGGTGCCAGAGGAGGAGAGGCTGCAGCAGAGGCGGTAAGGGCCAGGGCCCTGGCTGGCCAGGCCTCGCCTGAGGAAGGACTGGCTCGGAGCTGAGAGGATTTTTACATATTCCTGAATCTCAGAACGTTTCCTTTCCCCAGAGAGATGCTCAGAGACCCAGAATTGAGGTCCAAGATGATATCCAACCCCACCAACTTCAACCACGTGGCCCACATGGGCCCGGGCGACGGGATGCAGGTGCTCATGGACCTGCCTCTGGTGCGTTCAGGGCTGGGGGGTGAGGGGCATCCTGTGCAGGCAGCTGGCTCTGAAACTCAAAGCAGGGCCCACCTAGGACTTTGCTCCCCAGCCTCTCACTGTCACATTGACCTGGAACACCTATCATGTGGCCGCCTGCTTAAGCTCCCTTCTCTAGCATTTTTCTTGTCCTGGGCATCCATGTGCCACCTTGAGCCACTTACTACACCATGGGTGGGCAACTGGGCTGGTGGCAGACCCTGCTGTTTTCACCTCATTGTCCCTTAGGAAACCAGCCCTAAGAGAATGGTTTCTAACTTCTTAAAACACAGTACCAGGCTTTTTTAAAATCCTAAATGTGCAAGTTGGGCGCAATGAGGCACACCTGAAACCCAGCTATCGTATCCAGGGGCTGAGGCAGGAGAATCACAAGTTTAAGACTAGCCTCTGCAATTTAGCAAGACCCCATCTCCAAAAATAAGGGTTGGGTGTATAGCTCAGTGGTAGAGCACCCCTGGCTCAGTCCCTAGAAACTCCCCCCACCAAAAAAAAAAGAAAGAAACAAAGAAAAGAAAGAAATTGTGGGATTTGACTTGTGAAATTGTCATGACTGGTTCTTATCTCAAACCTAGTGGAGGCTATGTCCAGAGATCTGCAACCCACTTGCCCACTAAAGTCCCATTGTGCAGACCTTGTTGTGGGCCTGGGTGCTGGTGCAGCCTGTGGTCACTCTCCCCTGCTCATGCAATGCTCTCTCCCCCAGAGTGCTGCACCGCTCACCCAGGAGGAGAGGCCTGGCCCTGCCCCTGCCAGCCTGGCCCGGCAGCCTCCCTGCAGGAGCAAGCCCTACGTCTCCTGGCCCTCCTCAGGTACCAGAAAGGGGTGGGGCTGAGCAGGAATTGAGCTCCATCAGCTCACAGCTGTTCCCTAAGGTGATGGCTGTTCTTGCTTTGCAGGTGGTCCAGAGCCTGGAGGGACCGTACCTCTGAGGAGCATGTCCGACCCCGACCAGGACTTTGACAAAGAGGTAGGGCTTTGCCCCAGCAACACAAAGTGGCATGTCCACCTGTAGGTCCACTGGTGGAGAGGACCAAAGTGGTTTTTGAGAAGGACTCTGCACTGCCTCTAGGGCAGCACCCAGGTCAAGCATGCTGAGGGCTGGGAGGAGGAGGCTCATGCAGCTGTGGCCCCCAGGGGAGCAGTCCAAGGCCTGGAGGCCTGGGCAGTGTTGCCAGCCCCTCCAGAGCTCTATACGTCCTGAGGGAGGTGTGCATGTCTCCTCCTTGGTCCTGAGTCCTGGTCTCCTGCACAGCCCCTCTCTGCCCCAGTGCTAGCCCAGCCCCTCCAGCAGAGCTGCTGAGGGTGTGACAGGCACATCCTGATGAAAACTTCCCTGGAAATTAACTTTCTCCCAGAAGCTTCACACCTTCCAGAATTTTCTATACAATATTTACATTTGCATGTGGCATTCCAGCAGCTGCCCTGGTCCTGGAGGACCTTCATTTCTGGTCTCTGCTCTCCTTCCTTTCTTGAGCCACTTGGTGCTGGGAGTGGGCAGCAGCACCCTCCTCTGCTTTGAGGCCATACTGCCCCATGCCTCCCTTTATTCTTTTGGAAGAGCCAGTTGAAGGCACATGCAGCATCGCAGCCCTCTGTGAGCGTCTAAGTGAGGGTGCCCCCACAGCCATGGCCACCTGCCACTCTCAGGCACTTGCCCTGGTCCCGGGCCATTCATCCTCAAACCCCCTTCTAAATCCAGAATGCAGTCATGGGGCGTGCACACTATTTCCTGCCAGGTCTTTTCAGTCTTATGTGTCTGGCCTTTTAAATTTTTTATTTATTTTATTTTTTTATCTGTCTTACTTTACTTATGGTTTTGAGGGTTGAACCCAGGGGTGCTCTCCCACTAAGCTACATCCCTACCCTTTTTTAGTTTTGAGATAAGTCTCACTAACTTGCAGAGGCTGACTTTGAACTTGGAATTCTCCTGCTTCAGCCTCCTGAGTCCCTGGCCCTGGCTGGGTTTGGCTTTTCTTTTTTCTTTTCTTTCTTTCTTTTTTTTTAATCTTTTATGGCATTAAACTGGTTTTAGAAAGTACAGTTCTTTTGGAGAATACCCCTCAGTCAGGGCTTGTCTGATTCTCTGAATGAGGTTAAGAGTGGCAAACCCCCAGCCACCCAGGTCTCAGAGAGTCACATGCGTTTCTCCTGAAATTTCCCCGCTGGTGGCTTGTATCATGCCCTTTGACCTAAGGCAAGGACGCTCCCTTAGGTGACCATGGTGCAAACCTGTCAAGTTGACAGTCTGCGTGTTCCAGTTTTCTCCGTGTCCCAGCAACATCCTTCACCACATTTCCTCTAGGGCAAGACCGAGTACACCAGGCACCACCTGTCACTGCCTGTCTCTCTAGTCCCTTTGCACTGGAACAGGCCGTGGCCCTCCTTTGCTGGCCAACAGTATGTAGTTGGCCCAGGTTCCTCCCGGGCCGAGGGAGTCCTGTAGGGCCCAGCTGTCCCCGGGTAGGCACCCTGTTTATTCTACATGTACCCTGTTTGTTCTTTTAAACTCATGTGAGATCATGGCACATAAAAGTGGCTTTTTATTTCTTTATTTTTTTGTGGTGCTGGGGATTGAACCCAAGGCCTTGTGTATGTGAGGCAAGTGCTCTACCAATGAGCTATGTTCCCCAGCCCCCCATGTCCATTTTTAATTGGGATATTTTCTTATATGTATTTTAAATGCTATACCCTTATCATATATATCTTTTGCAAACATTTTCTCCTGCATGTCATCATATCACATTCTTAATAATGTGCTTTGATGTATAAAAGGTTCTAATTTTGGTGAAGTCCAATTTATTTTTTACTTATTTTTTTCCTTCTGTTGCTTGGATTTTAGAAGTCTTAACCTAAAAATCCACTATTGCCAAGTCCAGGGTGATGAAGATTTACTCCTGTTTTCATCTATGAGCTCTATGGTTTTAGCTATCATGTTTAGGCTGCTGGTCTGTTGGAGTAATTTTGCTTGTGATGTGAGGTAGAGCTCTGACTTCCTTCTTCTGCATGTAAATACTCAGCACATTTGTTTAAGGTCTGTTTTTCCCACTGATGGTCTCGGCACCTATATTGAAAAATAAGTTGACTACAGGTATTATTTCTGGTCTCTCCATTCTATTCCATTATATCTGTATATCTGCCTTTACATTGGTACCACAGTGTTATAGTGTATTTCGAAGTAGTAAGTTTGGGAAGTGTGAATCCTTAAGCTTTCTTTCTGTTTAATATTGCTTTGACTATTCTGGGACCTTTGTACTTGTATATGAAACTGAGGATTGCTTTTCTATTTCTGCAAAAATAGCCATGGAATTTCAGTAGAGATTGTGTCGAATCTATAGACCACTTTGGGAAGTAATGCTATCTTAAGTCTTCCAATCCATGAACATGGGATATCTTTCCATTGATTGACTGATTGATTTTTAAAAGTGATTTGCAATTTATAACATACAAATCTTTTGCCTCCTTGGTTAAATTTATTTTTTATATTTACTCTTTTGAGATACTATTGTAAATGGACTTGTTTTTCTTGGTTTCCTTTTCAAGCTATTCATGGCTGGTGGGTAGAAGCACAGCTGATTTCCCTTGTGTTGATTTGTACCTGCAGCTGTGCTGAATTCACTTGGTTTTTGTGAATTCTTTGGGATTTCCCATGGATAGAGTCACGTATTCTACAAATGGAGATTATTGGGCTTCTTTTCCAACCTGGGCGCCTCTGTGGCCTTTTTTTTTTTTTTTTTTT